GTTTTGGCTTTTTTAGCATACCTGCAAAATCTGTAGAAATTCTGTAGGGTGTTTGAATTCCCCTGTCATTATTATTATTATTACTATTATTATTATTATTATTACTTATAAGCCATGCATCAGGCCACTGGAATGAATATATAAAGTTGTGATTAATTTAAACTTAGAAATGTATTTAAATACTTGTTGAAATGATTAAAGGAATTTTTCAAAGTTCATATTTAGCAACAACAACAACAAATAATAATAATAATAATAATAATAATAATAATAATAATAATAATAGAAAATTAACACCTTAGACCATCCTGGAGAGAGGCTAAAGGATGCACTGGATTCAAAACTACGACCGGAACAGGCTGGCTGAATTCAGGAAGTACAAATCATGTGCCGACCAAATTGCGACGCTTCGAATCATCATAGAACTGAGTATAGAATGGCAGTCAACTCTACACCTCAACTTTATCGACCTTGAAAAGGCCTTTGACAGCGTCGACCGAGAGGTAATTTGGAAACTGCTTCAATACTACGGAATACCACAAACCTTTATCAGCCTCATTCAACAACTATATGAAGATGCCACATGCCAAGTGATTCACAATGAGAAGCTCAGTGATACTTTTGAAGTGAAGACAGGAGTGAAACAAGGCTGTCTACTATCACCCATGATATTGTTGATTGTGGTGGACTCGACTGGGTCATGCAGCAAACAGTGGGGAGCTGTGAGAAGAGGGGATACACTAGACTGTGGAAAAGAACCTAGAAGATTTGGATTTCGCCACCGATGACTTATATCTGATGTCACACAAACTTGAAGATCTACAGGCGAAAACTAACGAGTTGACAGAAGAGGCAGCGAAGACAGGACTTCAGGTGAATATAGAGAAGACAGATGTGGAGGTGATGAAGATACCCAACCAACGGGAGAAACTTAAAGGAAGTAGCCTCTTTCGCCTATCTAGGCAGGCAACACCGTTTCATTTACAGGCCTCACACTCACAGACGATGATGTCAAAGTCAGAATCGGAAAAGCAAGATAGGCGCTCATTAGCCTGAAACCAGTGTGGAGATCTTCTGCACTCAGCACAAAGCGTGAACAAGATGTGGATTTTCAACACCAACTTCAGTCAAGTCAGTGCTCCTGTATGGTTGAGAGACTTGGTGCGTCACGAAAAGGACTTCAAATAAACAACACACATTCATCAACAACTGCCTACGCTCGCTACTTAAGATCAGATGGCATAGCCAGAAAGAATAAGCAACAAGGAACTCTGGGAACGAACCAACCAAGAACCTATCACCCAACAAATATGCAGTGGAGGGAAGTTGAGATGTATTGGGCATACACTGACAAGGCTGACTGGGGACATCACGCGCCAGGCCAGACACTCGAGTGGAACCTAGATGGGAAGCAATGAGTTGGACGTCCGAGGTGAGGGTGACATGGAGGAGATCGTGCGAGGAGGAAATGAGAGCTTCTGGGTGTCGTGGAGCCAGGTTCGAAAGATTTCAGAGAACAGAGTGGAGTGGAGACGTGCTACTGAAGCCGTATGTTTCATTAGGAACCCAAAGGACTAAATAATAATAATAATAACACCTTAGACACATTTAAGTGCATTTTTTGATTTTATCACTTTCTCAATACGATTGTCTCTCACTTTAAATAATCATCTATTAAATACCTTCATTCTAGTTGGAAAGACAGATTTTTATAAAATACTGAAACTTGATTGGTTTATTTCAACAGTTTGTTAATATTGCCTTTTAAAGTTATACATAAATCCACTGATCCTATATTAGTTATAAAAGGTGAAGTATTTATTGAATTTCACTTACCAGGAGAATTTGAAACGACTTTAAAGGCCACCCTAACAACTATCAGGTTTTAATATTCCCTATGATTTAGGAGAACCAAATTATTAGGATGTTTTTACGAGTCGTTGCTTGTAAGACACTTGATATAAAAGAAGTGACTTTAAACGGCAATCTAGTAATGACTTAACTAATTATATATCTTCATTTCTGCTGGAAAGGCAAACTTTCATCAAAATATGAAAGATTGATTAGTTATTTCAATTGTTACCAAGGTAGCTTTTGAAATCATTCATGTCAACAGCTTCACTTATTTCCGCTAACTTGACACATCTATAATTTTGACGTAATGACTCTAAAGGTCACTATAACAACTACTGAAATAACTAATCAGCTTTCAATATTGTGACTGAAAAGATAAATTTTTATAAAGTGAAACATAACTTAGGGTTTGTTTAGTTCCACCAGTATGGGACTCCTCATCAGTGCGCACCCATGACCCCTCGAGGGATCAAATCCAGGCCCTTCGGGTTCCAGTGCTCCCTAATTTCTAGTGTTCTTCCAACTGATATCAGTCCATGATGAATACCAGCTTGGAACCAATAAAAAGCCTCACAAATTCCCCAAATTGACTTAATCTAGTGCTCATTGGTGACTAGCTTTGAGAGGTGATTCCTTAAGTTCCAATAAAAAGTCATGACAAGTGGGACGAACCTGGTGACCGTGAGCACAAATACTCAGCGATGATATTGGGTGACAGTAGCGCTACGTTGTGAACTGACAGAAGTAGGAAATATGAACCAATGGACTCCAACCCAACGGGTCAAGAGTAAAGTGCAGGTCACGGAACTTGGAGGTTCTGTGTTCGATCCCCGGCGGGGTGGGATCATGGTAGTGCACTGCTAAAGAGTCCTATACCGGGACGAAACAGCCGTTCATTGCTTTGAAGTTTCCAATGTTCCTACAATTTATGTCGGTTCATGATGAATACCAACTTGAAACATAATTGCTTGTCCCAACAGTTGATAGGGTGGCCTTCACAACCACTTGTTGACGGTATATCTGCAAGTTTAGCAACGATCCAGTGTGCACAACAACATTCTTCTCTATTTTTACCACGTGATTTTGAATTATGATTAGTTTTCATGAGAAACTTATGTATGTCTCTGATATTTGAGCACTTTTTCGCTATGTAAAATCGGTACTGCACAGCAGTCCCCTCTGTTCTATTATATCATTGTGAAACATGACCATAAGAAGATGTAAGTCAGTTGATGAGGTTGTGAACCTTCATCGACTGAAATGGTTGGGACACGTGTTAAGTACGCCTAGTCACCGATTGTCTCATCACACAGTGTTGGCCGAAGTAGGTCCAGACTGGAAGAGGTACGAGGTGGCCAGACCAAAACATGACACCAATGTATGAAGTCTCTGACTGTTGGTTTGAGCGATGTGGGGCGATGCAGACTAGGTGGTTGGGGTCCACGGGACACTAGAAACTAGTGGTTGGAGACTCTAGTTGATCACATGGCTCAGAGCAGATGTCAGTGGCTGAAATGTATCCCCACACACATTATCCTCATCTTAACGATGCTATACCGAATCTCACCATTTCCTCATTCTTCCTTTCTCTCTTTTCGTACTTTGCCTTTCTTTTGACTGAGTTTTCTTTTCTTCATCTTCCACTTCACTGCCTTTTTTACTTTTAGTCTAGTTAACCAATAATACAAAATTTCTATAGTGGCTCAGTAGACAATAAATATTCACCATCTCATCAATTGATTTAACTCTGCTACATAATAACCGACTCACGTAATCTTCTCATTCTTCACGTATTGAATTCATGACACTGACCAATTTCACAGTCTAATCCAAATCAATATAGGACGAGGCATTACTGCGTAACGGTCCACATTGCCACACCTCATATCAGTACATCAAGTAGAAAGGTAGTGAAATGGAAGATGAAGAAAAGAAAACTCAGTCAAAAGAAAGGCAAAGTACGAAAAGAGAGAAAGGAAGAATGGGGAAATGGTGAGATTCGGTATAGCATCGTTAAGATGAGGATAATGTGTGTGGGGATACATTTCAGCCACTGACATCTGCTCTGAGCCATGTGATCAACTAGAGTCTCCAACCACTAGTTTCTAGTGTCCCGTGGACCCCAACCACCTAGTCTGCATCGCCCCACATCGCTCAAACCAACAGTCAGAGACTTCATACATTGGTGTCATGTTTTGGTCTGGCCACCTCGGGCCTCTTCCAGTCTGGACCTACTTCGGCCAACACTGTGTGATGAGACAATCGGTGACTAGGCGTACTTAACATGTGTCCCAACCATTTCAGTCGATGAAGGTTCACAACCTCATCAACTGACTTACATCTTCTCCCTAAAACTACTCCTGACTTCTGCATTACTCACGTGGTGACACTAGAATACGGAATACGGCCTATACCACGAAGGCAGCGGTGGTCGAACACTTGAAGTCTTCTCATGTCTTCCACCTTCAGTGGTCATGTTTCACAATCATACAATAGAACAGAGGGGACTGCTGTACAGTATAGGGGCCCCTAATAGACAAACGGATATCATGGCGGCACCATAGGTGGCGTAAATTGGTAAAAGCAAACCGAGTTTTTTATATCCGTGCAGAGATTTCATCGTCAACTTATCCACCAAGGGCTGATTATATACGGTAATAACCGAAATAGGATTAGATAGTGATGCTTCTTTTCTGAAAAGTAACTTAGTAATCAAAGTATTAAAAAACACTTGCTCATCTATAAATGGTAAACGGTAGCTGTACTGTATCGTATCATAGCGATCACTTTTTATATGACTACTAACAGGTGGTGTAAACAGCCTATTGTCGAAGGTTTTTTACTTCTGAACTAAGTAATATCATTTTGAATCACTGTAGGAAGATTAGTTCCAGCATGGTTACCTATAAACCTTTGTAATATGAAAATCTATGTCTAGGGCTTCTTGCGAGATCACTCTTAACATCCAACACGAAAATACAGTACGCTATAGTATCGTATAGCTTAAACTATCGTCGATAAGTTTTGGTCAGCGCTGTATAGTTAGGATGTGATTGCTGTCATCTGGTAAACAACCCATATGAAAATTATTTTGGGTTAATAATTTAGAAAATTCTCAATATACTACTCATTTCCACTGAAAATGTTTAAGTCAATTGATTTTTGAATTCATAATCTCTTTGGATGTATCTCTACACAAGATGAGAGTGAGAGCAGCAGCCAGTTAGTAGTAGTAAGTGACCTTATCTTCACTATGTTTTGTTCTAATTCATTAACATTCTGATCAGGTTGCCTACTCCTTTAATGTCTTATGTATTTTCGATATTTTCTGTAAGATATATTATTATTATTATTATTATTATTATTATTATTCAGTTTTAGAGGTTTCTGTGTGATATACAAAGTGTCTATGATGTTTTATATTTATGGGCATTCTATATAGTCTTCTTTAAAAAAGAAGGGGGGGAAATATCAAGTATTTCTTCAAAAGGATTTTTAAAAATTATTTATCATGTCTTACCTCTTTATTTTCTAAATCAATTAAATCTGTTTCATGACATCCTGTACTCTTAGCAAAGCATATTGACGTTTCAATGATGAAATAATTGATTGAGTAATTACGTAATATACTATAGACGTCATCAGTAGATTTTCTTCCATAAATTTGATACAACTTAAAGTAGTTAAAAGAGATGCGAAAATGATAATATGAGTTTAAAACAAGCAACAGGTATGAAAAAAGCAGGATTTAATGAATGCATAAATTTCAGTAGTACTCGTCAGCTGGATACTCTACATACTTGATTATATATACCGTTAAGCAATGGAAAAGAGCATACATATACAACGTAGACTGAGACAAATTTAGGTGTAACAACATAGAAGTGAATAGTTTTTACAATTGAGCACGAGGAAAATAATGTGATTAGTTTCTTAGATGTCTCATTAGTGAAAAGAATCGATGGATCTATAGAAAGGTCCATCTATAGGAAACCTTCATGGACAGGACAATACTTTCATTTTAGGAGCTTTGTTCCGACAGCACACTAGACTACGAAATAGGGACTTTGAAAAGCATGCTGGTGAAGAATGGGTACCCAGAAAGCTTTTTCAACGAGCACGCGAAGTGGGTATGAAGCAGAACAACGGCCCCAACAGTGCAGAAGAAACCAGCTTATGTCACCTTGCCATTCAAAGGTGACGACGTGCTAGAGGTGGTTAGACGAAGACTGGAGAAGTCTATCAGAAGGATTTACTACGCAGCTAAACTGGTTCTTCTTAGCACCACCAAAAGGGTATTGCAGCAATCAGGGAAAGACAGTACTCCGATCCTCGACACATCTAAATGCACATATCAATTCGAATGTACCTGCGGAAGCAAATACATTGGTCGTACGGAGAGGCGTCTGTCCACCCGGATGGTTGAGCACATGCCGAAAAGAAGACCCCGAGGAGCTCGATAACGAAGCACCTAATGGACTATGGACATGATATTGATACCTATAAGTCCTTTAAAGTTATCGGTAGACAGCAAAATAAGAAGTTGCTTGGGTATATAGAAGCCTGCACGATTCGAGTTGTCAAACCAAACCTTTGCATTCAGAAGGAAATGGTAGTCAGCCTGAATCTGCCATGGTAATAATTACAACATTTTTTTTTGAGGGGGTTGTGGAGATTTGGAAATATTTCAAGTTGTTATTCATCGAAGACTGACATCAGTTAGAGGAACAAAGGAAACCTGGGAGCACTGGACAGCCGTTTCGTCCTAGTATGGGACTCCTCAGCAGTGAGCACCCACCTATCACTATTATTATTGCTACTACTGCTACTATTATTATTATTGTTATTATTATTATTATTATCACTATTATTACTACTATTACCACTGCCACCACTACTACTACTACTGCTAATCACATTATTAATAACAATAATAGTAATGACTTCATAACACTAGACTATCTTTTCTATGCAGTCTGGCATTCTCATCGTGTACTATCGCAATAAATCTATCGGTCAAACACAATATTTAAGCGGAATAACTCTAGTGACTAGATAATACTGGTAATAATATTGTTTTAAACAGTAATATATGAATGATGACACCAATGAGATATCTGTTTATTTACTGTTACAAGACTGATAAATAAGTTCGGTATTGACATTTCTTCTTTCATACAAATATACATGTAATGTAAAACATGATGAAGTTTTAATGTTCAACTGCATATGAATAAAGTCTTATGAGCCATATTACGTCATAGAGCAAAGAAATAAAACAGAAGAAATGCTTCATTCACTGAAGTGTAGAATTGGAAAGATTTAAATCAAATCTAGTGGACTATTGCTATCAGTATAAAAACAATAAAAATATGACAAAAGGCATATTGACTAGACAACATTATCATCATCAAAAGATCACATAAAGCAGCTGGAGTCATAACTATAATTACAGACAGAGTTGATTATGGAGAGAAAATAAGTTTAATATTGCAAATCTAATGAAGCAAATTTTAGAAAACAGAATCAGAGAAAGCCCTAACCGAAAAAGTAAAAAAGGATCTAATCGTTCAACCAAAGTAATCGAAAGATGATGGATACATTTCATCATACTGATTTGAAACTCATAGGTAGCACGATTACACAGATATATAGCCTATCAAAAATACAAAAACATGGTGTGTCTCATGAATGACTAGCCTCAGGATCTCCATCAAGGACTGTAGACACATTTCTGGCAAAATTTGAAAATAGTCTTTTAAAAGATCAAATTAACAATTCAAAGTTTTATTGTCGAGATATGAATGATATCTTTTTATTCTTCAATAAATATCTACACATCGATTCTATTCTAAACCATTTCAACAGAGTTCATCCATCAATTTATTTTACATATGAAATAGATGATTCGACACATTTTGTTGATGTGTTAATGACAAAAAGAGATGTCTCGGTCCTTAGAAGTATATATAGAGAACCAACGTCTAAGACGTAGTACACACACTTTCTCAGTCTTGTATCAATGAAGTACAAACGTAATATGATCAGGTGCCTGGTATTTACAGTAAAGTCGAATCCATGTGTTCCACTGCCACCTACGCTCACTCGATATTGAAGATTGATCAGATGGATGGCTAGAATAATAAGAATAAGTAACAAGGAACTCTGGCAACGAACCAACCAAGAACCTATCGCCCAGCGAATATGCAGTAGAAAGTGGAAATGGATTTGACATACACTGAGAAGACCGATTGGGGACATCACGCTCCAGGCCACGCCCTCGAGTGGAAGGCAAATGGGAAACAATGAGTCGGGCGTGTGAGGTGAAGCTGAATGGAGGAGATGATGTGAGGAGGAAATAAAAGCTTGTAGTCAGTGGTGGAGTCAGGTTAAAAGAGAAGACTGGAGAGGAGAGAGTGTAATGGAGGCGTGCTACTGAATTCGTTTGTTCCACTAGGAACCCAAGGGACAAATAATCAATTATAGTAATAATAATTAGCGAACCTTGAATACATAATACTAACAATCAATAACTGGCTAGACTGACCGATGATGTTGACTGTAACTGCAGTGTGTTGAGTGTGCTAACACTACACACCTATCGATTCTCGATTCTGCTTTCTTCGGTTCGAGACATATCTTATTGTTATACTGGCCAAAGGAGGGAGAACATGAATCTCGGATGAAAATCATCAGTTATACTGTTTTATTTATTTTGAAAGACAGTTTAATTAGTACTTATATAATGGTATTACTGGATTTCTTGGTTCAAGTGCTTTCTAATAATCCTCCACTCATTTCTACATGACGTATGGTTCTGGAGTGATTGCATGTTAAATAAAATCAATAGTTGTGTATTGTGAACCTCTAATTCATCTGTGTATACAGATGATTCAGATTACAAGGATAAAATAATCAACAACTTGGGTAAATTGTTCATGTAAGACATTATGAACATATGGGGGATTAATCCTTTGCAAGGGTGATGTTAGAAGTGAACAGGAAGGATTATATAGTTCAGAGATAGATCACTCTGATCTGGCTAATGAAATCTAAAGATCAGTCTGAGTAGTTTCTTTCTGGTCAAGTTGTTCAGTTGTACAATTTGTTAGTTTATGACACTTTTGTATCAGAGATCATAACTTTTCGTTAGACAGTTGAAAAACTACTCAGCTATGAAAAATGTTAACATGGAAAGTGAAATATGCAAATCATTTGTAAATGTACGAACTTATATCAGATATACCAGTTCATCCATGATAGCGCTAACCGAATTCAGGTGTTCTGAACTAATTCACCCCTGTGGATTAAATTTATCCTAAACAAGCGAAACTTCTCACTGGTGTTTAGATCAATTTCGTCTGGTTGACTGATGAAATCTGTAGACCAGTATGAGTGGTTTCCAACTATTCATATTGTTACAAATGAAATACTTATGTAACCTTTTAAATTATATTATTTACTTTTCTTTATTTCATTGATTTCACTTCCCCATGGGACATAGAAGGTGAATTTTTTGAATTTCAAGTTTCTTCTTGTTTTCAGCCTATTAGTCTTGTTATCAGTCACCAAGTTAATTTATTCCTTTGTCTGACACACTTATTAATCCAAATTACACTGGTAAAAGAAAACCGATTTTGAACAATAGTAACTATATGCATATACAGTTCCTATTACGTCTTGTTCTAAAACTATATTCATCATTCTAAATACAGAAGAATATAGCAATCTATACATGTTACGATTTAACCTTCTAAACTTTTTTACTGTCTGTAAAACTGGAATGAAAATGTCCCGAATGTAGGCTGCATGATATGTGTGCAGTAAACTAAGCGTAGACCCCAACAATACTAAATAATAACTATGCATTAAATTGTGAAGAAGCACTGAAGACAGACCCAGAGACATCAGCGGACATGCTGACATCAATATTTCAGAAGGTTTGGAAGAAAGGAAAGGTATCTGCCGAGTGGTTAGAAGAAGGGCCACCTTGTCAAACTTTCAAAGAAGGGTGACCTAAGTCTTTGCAAGAATCGGTGCAAAATCATGCTCATGTCCACACCAAGCAAAATATCAAGCCGTATCATCATGGAAAGACTAACGAATGCTCTGGATTCAAAATTACAACAGGAACAGGCTGGCTGGCTTCAAGAAGAACAAATCATGTGCGGATCAAATTGCAACACTACGCTACGCATCATCATAGAACAGAGCATAGAAGGCAAATCAACAGTTTACTTCAACTTCATCTACTTTGAAAGGCCTTCGAGAGCGTCGATCGAGAAGTTATTTGGAAGCTTCTTGAACACTGCGGTGTTAGTGCCACGAACATTTATCAACTTCATTCAACAGCTATATAACAACGCTACATGCCGAGTGATACACAGTGGAAAAGTCAGTGATGCCTTTGAAGTGAAGACAGGAGTAAGACAAGGTTGCCACCTACTATCATTAATGATCTTCCTGATTGTGGTCGACTGTACTAGACTAGACCATTCAAAAAACTGCCAGGAAAAAGAAGAGGGGTATACGCTGGCTGGATCGATAAAAAAACTCTAGAAGATTTGGATTTTGCCGACCATGATGATTTATGTCTACTTTCCTGTCGCACAAACTAGAAGATATACAGCCAAAAACTAACAAGTTGAAAGAAGAGCAGAAGTGAAGCAGGGAAACGAAAACTGGACTTCATTCAGGTGAACGTTGAGAAGACAGAGGTGATGAACATACCCAACCAACCAACAGCCAACCAACAAACAAACAAACAACAACAAGCAACAATCACCATGAACGGGAGAAATCTAAAGGAAGTTATCTCTTCCACCTACCTACCTACCTACCTGACTCGGTACCATCGTCCCAACTACAGGCGGTACAGGCACAGATCACAATGTCAAAGTCAGTATTGGAAAGACAGCAAGACAGGCCTTCCTTCATTAATCTGAAATAATCAGTGTGCAGATCTACTCCACTGCACTGCACTCAACATAAAGTGTGAACTGGATCTGGATTTTCAAGAATAAGTTAGTCAAGTCACTCAGTGCTTCTATGTGATAGTTGAGAGACTTGACGGTGCGTTATGAAAAGCATTTCCAACAAACTACAGACATACATCATCATCAGCATCTGCCACGTAAGCTCACTCGATAGTGAGGATCGATCAGATGGATAGCCAGAATAATAAGAATAAGTAATAAGGAACTCTGACTGGCTGGCTAGCAACGAGCCAACCGACCAACAACCTGTCGCGCAACAAATATGCAGAAGAGACTGGAGATGGATTGGACTCGATTGGATTGGACATAGACCCAGAAGACCATTTGAGGATATCAAGCGTTAGATCAGGCTAGACTGTCGAGTGGAAGGCAAATGGGAAGCGACGAGTTGGGCGTCCGAGGGGAGGGTGATATGGAGGAGATAATATGAGGAAGAAATGAAAGGAAGACAAGACAAAGAAGACAAAGATTTGTTGCTAACAAAAGCTGGTGGTTGTATAATCAATTTTTAATGACTTTCAATACATAAACCTTTATGCTTAAAGTTTCATACAGACGATAACAATAATGTTTACTGTATTGGCTGATTTCTTAATTGTACAGTTTTTGATATAGTTTACCTTTGTTTCCAGTTCACCTAGTCGACAAAACTAAAATCATCAACACTCATACAAAAAAGCATGTGGTATATAACTTTGATGGCAAACTATTTCTATGCCTTACTTTGTATCACATCACGTACAAGTTTACCTCATGATGTATTGTAGTTTATAAACAACAAAGAAGAAGTCTTATTTATTTCAATAAGAAGAGGATAGAAATGCATGATCAGAGAGAATAAATTTCAACTTTATTTCTTTCCTATTTTCTATTTATAAAGATATAGACACGAATAAAAACATCTTTGGAAATATCCTATGTGCCGATATCACATAAATATTTAGACTAATTTTGTTTTGCGTGTATTGGATATGGCGTGTTTTTTATTTACCGGTTATTGTCACATGTTTTCCTGTTGATTAGGATACGATTCATAACATTCTGGTAGAAAAGAAGTGATATATACCCACTTTATCCATATTCATATTGTAGCTCATTTGGGACTATTACTGTTGCTTATCCAGGGCACAAAAGTGATAATACATAGTCCTAGAATTTTACTCTGTTAACCAGTTGGTAAAAATGTTATTTTTTTTAATTTTTCACTTCTCCCAGTTACCACTGTCGATAAATCTATGGTACGGACAAGTAACAATCATGTTTTTTGTTCACAGATAGTATGGCCTTGAATCGCAGCATACAGCAATAAAATTAGAGGTAATGTGGGTGTATGTTGGATACTGCTCGCAGTTATAAATTATTCAGCACGATCATTTAGAATCACTCTATATGAATGTAAGCTTCAAAGGTGATTGATTCCCTTTAAGGAGAACTTTTCTGCATCAACGCTGAGACTAGTATTCTCTTGTCACTCAACGATTTCTAACAACTCAAAGAAGAAACTTCCACATTTGACCACTTCTGTGTACATACATCAGTTCACCTGCTCTTGTGGAGTCAGGTATATAGGTTGTTCGGTGTAACTGTTATTCAAAAGAGTTCAAGAACACTATCTCTCATGGCTCCAAAGTGGTAACAACGGAGCGATAATTTTATTATTTATTTATCTTTAATTTCTTTGTGCTTTGAAGCTTCTTCAGCGGTTGGATTGGTTTTACGGGGTAGGGTTGCTAGCCTTATGCCCAACCTTCCCTCTTTACCCTGGCTTAGGACCGACAAGTAACTAGGGAACTAGTTAACAAGGCGAGGTTTAAATCTGGGAGCACTGGACAGCTGTTTCTTTCTGGTATGGGACTCCTCAGCAGCAAGCATCCACGACCCGGCCAGGGATCGAACTCAGGACCTTCAGGTTTCACGGTGAACGCGTTAACCATTCAGCCACTGGGTGATGGAGCGATAAGGAGTGCTATAATTCAACACATCGTGAACACAAACCACCGAGTCGCAAAAACCTCCTCGTTTAAAGTCATCTACAAAGTAAAAGGAAACCTTCCAAGGGTTGTATATCTTCGTATTCTCTGCATCGCCGAAGCTCTTGTCATCCAAATGGAGAAGACTAAAATGTGTACACAAAAGAAGATTGTTCAACTCTTACTTCTCTTAGGATCTTAGTTTTCAGTAGTCTCTACTCCCCCCACCACTTTTTTCATCTTTGTTTGGACACTATTCACTTGTTAAGTAATTAAATATTCATTCTTGTTGCTATGCTCTGTCTGATCACAATTCAGTTTCCAAACTTCTTGTTCAAACCTATTTTGGTTAATATTTACTACTCATCAGTTTTTGATGACAGCTCATTCATTTATTGACACTATTTATGTTCCCAAGCTTGATAAACCATTTTTAACTATCAAACCCTCACACTAGAATAATGCATAAGTTTGTAGTTGTACAGCTTTGAAAGTGAAATCGCTGAAAAAAGACTGTTTGCTGAAATAGACTTATTCTTCTTCCACATTTAGACACACTCATATCCCTTAGAAGACTTAAACGTGTATCACTTATACTTCAGCTTTATCACCTCACAACTCTTTAACTGTGGGACTGGATTACCTCTACAAATTCGTCAGTAGAGTTATATACAATGTAGTTGTCAAGTTCAGTTACCAGTGCTGATCAAAGTCTATCAGTATTTCATTCATTTAGAATGAAATACTGTTTTTCATTAATAAGAACAATATTTGAAAATTGTTAATAAATATAAGAGTCTAAAACAAGATAATGCAGAGAAATAAATATGACTAACCTGTTTTGTTCGTCTGCGTAATTCAGCATTTTCATAGTGTGGATGATTAGCAATTGGTCGTGATGTACAACATTTTACACCAGCCATCAATTGCATACTACCTGTGAATATACTCTCTTTGTTCACATTATTCCTGAGATTTATCAAGACAAATAATATTCGTTTCAGAAATATATAATAATCATTCAACCAAAGAAAAGATGCATAGTTACTTCTTTCATATTCATTTGATGCGGATTAAATGAAAGTAAAAGTTATTTTCCTACCCATCGAATACGAACCTGGTGTCCATGGGGACAAATACTCAGTGATGACATTAAGTAATGGGCATGCTATATCGTGAACTAACAGAAGTTGGAAATATGTACCGTTGGATTCCGACTCAGTGGCTTAATGGTAACGTGCTGGCCACGGAACCTGAAGGTCATGGGTACGCACTGTTGAAGAGTCCGATACTGGGTCGAAACAGATGTTCAGTGCTTTGCGGTCTCCAATGTTCCTCCAACTGATGTCAGTCCATGATGAATATCAACTTGGAAAAATCTTTAAATCCCCACAAACCCTAAATTTTATTGAATAGGGTTATAAAGCCAAAATTGTGATTATCCAATGGCATGCAGTTTTGAATTCTGTGAAGAATTTCGTATATGCTTATTATTTGAAATAAGTAGTTTGAACTTTAAAAAAAAAGAAAACTACTATGAATGAATACTTAGTAATATCAGATCATAGATAAAAACTGTAGCTTCGATGAATAATTTCTCTAGTTTCCCGTTCTAAAGAATTGGACCGTACTTTTAATTACTGTTGGAAGGCCCCAGTTTTGCATAAAAACATTGTTATTAATATGACCAATTTTTTTAATCGTCTTTTCGAGTCTTTTTCTAACACCATGGCCAGTAGTCAATTTTTTGGCCCCATTTGCAAGGTAATTCGCTCATTGGTTAATGTTTTCTTTTACTATGTTAATGTCTCAATTTGTGGACAAGGTCATATCTTATGTGTATACATACGTGCGTTTTCGGTTAATTGATTATTTATTATTCTCTGAGGAATAATTTCTCCCATTCAGTTCAATCTTCACCTCTATTCTTTCTGGGTTGCTACAGTCGATGGCTTTTACATACGAAGTTAGTTGTCAGTTAAGCGTGTGTATTATATCAGCTCAGAGTATATAACAATTACTCTGTATAACAGTTTGCTTTATTCAGAGCTATTAACTCTAAAATATCATAACTAATAATGTTGAGCAAGTGTATGATGTTGTTGAATGTCATGTACTCAACCACTTGTGGACATATGATAAACTTTTAAAAGACAATTTTCTGAAATGATGAAGTAGGTAGTGTTTATTTGATGAATTCATAAGCTGAATAAGTGTTGTAGTCAGCTGTTAACCTTATGAATGTTGTCAGTTAAATGTTAGAAATAAGTCAGTGACAGAAGACAATGGATGATGTAGCTGTCAATGGTTCATGTTTATTTATTCCTTATAATTGGGACACGTTGACTCGATATAACTTTACTCCAGTGAATGGTGGTATTCTTACTAAAATCAAAACTCAGAATCAATCGCTACAGACACCAGAATGTAAAACGCTAGGCTACTGAGTCAATGAGATCCATTTCTCTTGAAATAGGCATCACTATTGTCATCTTCATAAGTATTCGGTAGCAAAAAAACGCTCCTAACAAGCTATTTCATTTGAAATAATTTCCTGTGATTCACTCCGTTTATCAGAAATCAGCTGTAATGAAATATCCTGGTCTACTAAGCAGCTTTGTGACAACTTATACTTAAGACCTATTTGATGGTACTGATTATCCCATATGCATTGTGTCTAAGTCAACTAATCTTTCTGAATTACGGAAATATCAGTCCAATGAATCAAGTTGAAATGTGATCAGATAAGATCATTTATGCCTTCGTATTAATGCTCAATTTGTGAATATCAAAAACAAACTCAACAATGTTACCTATGATGGAATCATTTTGTGAGTTCATTTCAAGGTTAGGCGTTTAACACCAGGCAATAAAAATAGGTCAAACAATGACATTTTAACTTTCATAGTTTCAAATGGCTTCAACATATATTGTGAGTGATAAACTACTGTCCATTTTGACATGCTATGCTAGCCAAAGTAAGATTGAGCTGTAAAAAGGCTTAGGATGACCTCAACAAGAAACAATACCTTCCCATAGGATCTCAAACTGTTGGTTTGAGCAATGTAGTGAGGTGTATACTGCATGACTGGGGTCCTCAAGACCTTAAGAGACTTTTAGTCACATGGCATTAAAATCGATCACAATGAGTCAAATGTATGTATTTTTTCATTTTGACTATTTGAGATAGCCGTGGTTTGGCAGACTAATATTTGTACTAGGTGATGATTGTAGGTAAAATGGAAATTCAGACAGCAAACGGATTCAAACCAGCAACCATTGGGTTACCGGCCTGGTGCGTTACCAACTGTGCCACGAGGTTCGACTGCTGACCAGATTTTTATTTTACTTCAATCACCGTGATTTTTGCCTAACTACCATGTGAATTTATGACATGTTACTATCGCTTGATCATACTCACACTGGCTACCTAGTCAGGACTCCTCATCCCAATCCAAATCTAGGCAGTCAATGTTCATCCATCTATCCATCCAGATCAACCTAGGACCAGGCATTACTGCGTAATGGTCCACATTGCCACACCTCATATCAGTACATCAAGTAAAATGGCAGTGAGGCGTAAGATGAAGATAAGAGAATGCAGTCAAAAGAAATATAAAGTACTAAAAAAGAGAAATGAAGAATGAAAAAATGGTGAGATCCGTTATAGCCAGTGTGAGTACAATCAAGTATGTCATAAATTCACATGGTAGTTAGGCAAAACTCCACTTATGATTGAGTGAAATAAATATCTGATCAGCAGTCGAACCTCATGGCTCAGTTGGTAACGCACCAGACCGGTAACACAGTTGTTGCTGATATGAATCCGTCCACCGTCTAAATCTTCATTTCACCTTCAATCATCACGCAGTATATACTTTTTGTCATCTTCAAAATCTTCACATTTTCATCAACCTTAATCTGTTAATTTTCTGTCCTCTCTACAATTTTCAGACTTTAATATCACTCATTTTCTATTCACTTTTTTTCCTTTAAATGTGTGAATTGAGATAACTTGAACTGATGCAGTTCTTTACCATACATTTTTCGTTAATCTGTTTCTTCATGCAATACCAAAATGAAATTTTTCACAATAATTTTTGTCTACAAATGTTTGTAAGGCTCATTAAAAGTCTACGAAATATAAGAGTAGATCCTTGGCGGTCGAGTAAAGAACAGTGTCTTACTAGTTTATTTATTAAGTATAACACAGGTAAATACCAGTCAATCAGTATCAATATGTGACCTGGAACTACTTACTATATAACACTTCAATCTACCACGCCTCATATAAACATATGAAGGTAGAAGGTGACGAGACTAAAGATGACGACGTGAGAAGGAAAGCAATCAAAGTAGTAGGAAACCACAAAACTATAGATAAAAAAGTGTAACAATAGTAGAATTAGTTATGACGATTGGGATGAAGATAATATGCGAATGTTTATATACTACTGAGATCGATTCCAAGCCAGACCACTTAGAATCTCCTAACACTGAATTCGGCTGTCACACGGATGCCAACCACAAAGTCAACATTTTCCTATTTCTTCACATATCAAAAACTCAAGGGGTTAATGACACTTGTAGTGTAGCTACCTCTAACTAATTTTAAGCCTAGACTTACTTCAGCCAACGTAGCGTGTTGGAGTAGAGAGTGATTAGGCTTGTAAAGTGCACGTCGCAACCCTTTGAGTTGATATGTATGTAGTAAGTATCTAATGATAAATTACCTTTAGAACACAGTTTATTGATGTGATCATACTGAATAAACAATATATGAAACACCTTGTAGTGAATATTACAATTTCACTAAGCTTTGTTTCAAATAAACAAACTACTCAGTGTAGTTTAACGGGCTAGAGATGGATCAGTGTTTCAACTCAGTACTCATAGTTCTAGGGTTCGATGTTTTAGACAAATGTTAATTCTCAAAACAAATTACCAAAACAACAGTAAAAGATGTTGATGGGCAGATGTAAAGACACCAGAAGATTTGGATTTTGCCGACCATGATGATTCATGTCTACTTTCCTGTCGCACAAACTAGAAGATATACAGCCAAAAACTAACAAGTTGAAAGAAGAGCAGAAGTGAAGCAGGGAAACGAAAACTGGACTTCATTCAGGTGAACGTTGAGAAGACAGAGGTGATGAACATACCCAACCAACCAACCAACCAACAAAACAAACAAACAAACAACAACAAGCAACAATCACCATGAACGGGAGAAATCTAAAGGAAGTTATCTCTTCCACCTACCTACCTACCTACCTGACTCGGTACCATCGTCCCAACTACAGGCGGTACAGGCACAGATCACAATGTCAAAGTCAGTATTGGAAAGACAGCAAGACAGGCCTTCCTTCATTAATCTGAAATAATCAGTGTGCAGATCTACTCCACTCCACTCCACTCCACTCCACTGTACTACACTGCACTCAACATAAAGTGTGAACTGGATCTGGATTTTCAAGAATAAGTTAGTCAAGTCACTCAGTGCTTCTATGTGATAGTTGAGAGACTTGACGGTGCGTTATGAAAAGCATTTCCAACAAACTACAGACATACATCATCATCAGCATCTGCCACGTAAGCTCACTCGATAGTGAAGATCGATCAGATGGATAGCCAGAATAATAAGAATAAGTAATAAGGAACTCTCACTGGCTGGCTAGCAACGAGCCAACCAACCAGCCAGCTAGTCAGAGTTCCTTGTTACTTGTTCTTATTGTTTTGGCCATCCATCCAATCGATTTTCAGTGTCAGTACCGAGTGAGCGTAGGCGGCAGTTGTTGACGATGAAATATGCCTGTAGTTTGTTGGAAATGCTTTTCATAACATGCCGTCAAGTCTCCCAAGCATCACATAGAAGTACTGACTGACTTAGTATTGAAGAAACGGCCAACGGTGTAATGTTATTATTTCTGTTCACATTTTTTTTTACACCATTTGTGTTTTTTAAACCACAAATATGCTTTTTGAAAATCTAATTACCGTACATATCCATATTAGTATGCTACAAACGGTTTACACCTAGTTATGTGATTCTATATACGTCTTGTTAACGCCTTAATTCTTTCTAAATATAAACTTTTCATAGTAGCTATACTACCTTAAAAGGCGAATAAACAAGTGAAGATTAGTTATATGTGAGAAGTTCTCAGACTTCAAATATAAATTTTCTAACTTACTTTATCCATTCCATTAATTCAACTGTATCTGGATCATAAAACTCTCCCAATTGATTTAATTGATATGTAATTTGGTGTACAGCCTTTAAAAATGGTTTAAGAATGAATGTCTAAAAGTAATATTATCTTTATTATCAAATTAAAACAAACAAATTTTGAGGTAATATTTATCGCGAATTGATATCAATTAGGGAACCATTGGAAACAAAGGGGAGACTGGACAGCTTCTTCGTCCTAGTATGAGATTCTTCAGCAGTGGTAAAACTCAGGAACTTCAGGTTCCACGGAGAACGAATTAACCACTCACTCATTGGATAGCAGTTCATTAGTCTACAGTTTCCTACTTTTGTCAGTCTACGATAAATACTACCTTGCAATTTAAAATCCCCATTAACTTCAAAATACATAGCTATATAGTACTCAATGGTGACATGCGTCGAGATGGATATCCTGAAGTTCTAATGAGAAGTCATGACGTGAGGCATCAACTAGTCGAAAGTGGAACGGATACTAGTTGAAGACTTTGGTGGATAGTTGCGCTATACCATGAATTGTCAGAATTAAGAAACTGTGGACCACTGAACTCCACTCCGGTGACTGAATGGTTAACGCGTTCGTTACGAAACCTAAAGATTTTGAGTTCGGTCCCTAGCCAGACTATGGGAGCTTACTGCTGTGAAGTCCCATACTAGTTAGATGATGCAGCTGTCGAGGGCTCTCAGGTTTCAAATGGTTCTCCGTGACGAATACTACCTCAAAATTAAAATCCTCATTCATCTCGAAAACAAATCAGTGTCAAATTACAAACCACGATTAAAAAAGTGCTTGTAGTTATAGTATATCAGACCAAGATTTGACATCAACCTCATGAGGTCTGTGACGTTTGATTATGGTTTACAAACCTTAAGTGATATTATTCAAAAAAAACTTTATTATACCACAGTGAGTGTGGCCGTTCCACATCTTTCCTAAAATCTTGACAGTACTAGCATATTTCCCTTCCCTCTTCCCTTTTCATTCATTTCCTGCGCATTATATGTGGTGGTGTTATTTCACTTTCACCAAGCTTTTGGAAATTGTGGTAATTTTAACTGCAATATCTATGATATGGGGTCCTAAATGACTCGCTGTCTAATTGCTCAGACAAGACTAAAAGACTTCGGAATGCATAAACCATATGTTACTCATTCACTAACTGTTAGACAACGTTTGTGACTAGACTACATTGCATCTGCTTTTATGATAAAGAGTAAAGTAGTTGAAAACGCTTCAATTATTAGGTTAACTGCAACAACTTTGATGGGATCATGATGTATAATAGGCCTAATGTACACAACTTTTCTTAAATTTATCAGCCTTCCTCATAATCTCTGTTATCGTGAGGACATCGGGTTATTTAGTGGATAACTATTATACAGAAAAGTTAAATACTCTTACATCCTTTACATTTATGAGATATGAATTTAAAGTTTCAGAGTAAACTAATAGTCACCCTAGCAACAACTGAGATAACCAATTAGTTTTTTTTATTTTGGTTAGGAAAGTAGTATCTCCGTCAAACTGAAAAACAATTGGTTATTTCACTGGTTGTTACGGTGACTATTAAAGTAACCTAAAGTTTGGTGAGGTTGTAAACTTCCAATTGATACAAAGGTTTTGCATGACCTACATATTAGCCAAGGTAGTATTCGTTACGAGTGACCTATGAGAGGTTAAACGACGCAACAACACTATCCTATGAATTCATTGACTGCTGGTTCGAATCATGTTATAATTTCTAGACTGACTAGCTCAGAGCCTCAATATATTACTGATAAGCGATTAAAGACAGTCAGTCATATAGCTCAGTAGTTATTGTATTGGGCTAGATGGAATCAGTTTGGTCTTTAAAGGAACTTGTTTATTGGGTTACTTTCAAAATCGATTATTATCTTTTTAGTTAAAAATTCGAATACTCTTACCTCTGTGCAATTTTCAGCTGTGACATCTTGAATCGATGTACATCTTTGTAATGTTCGGTGTGATTGATTAGAAAAAAATTTCACAGTTCTTTTTTTATCACTTATTCAGCCTGAATGATCACTGTTCATCGTGAACAACATCTCATAAATAGATAATTATTACTGTGACTATCTGAGATATTCAAATGTGCTCAGATAACCGTTTACTTCCAGCTAGCAGAGACTTCAGACATGAAAAAAGACAGTGTCTGGTGTGATGTTTCCTCGAGCTCAACTCAGTGATGGACACAGATAGACCACATTATTATCAGTCATCGCCGGAGAGGGTAGGTGGAAGACTTCTGCTCCTTCTGAAACACGTGTTTTGGTAGCGACCAGGTATCGGTTCCAGTGAGTATATGTCCATTAAGGCCGCTTTCAGTGAAAAACCTTCTCGACAGTTATCGGGACAGAACGCTATCACTCATTCAGAGGAAGCTTGGTGCCGTGTGTAGTTCACCTAAAAACAGTGCTGAAGACCGTAGCCGACTCTCAAAGATTGGTTAAAAAGAGCCAATGGATATCAGCAGCTTCTGAATTATTGGATGTACACGAACGCTTTTCTGCAAGATCTGGGCGTAATGAAGAGTGAATGCTACTCAAATTTAGACTGACAAAAGGTCTACAGAGTGACCATGAACGGTGGCGGGCAGCTAAGTCTGAAGAGATGGAAAACACAGCGGTGGTAGGTAACAGTAGACTATTATTCAGACTAATTGAGGAAACTGGGTCATAAAGTTAAACGGCTAGTGAGACCCTAGCGGAAAGGGATGGGTGTGCGATTCAGTCGCAGGAGAGACGACTGGAATGATGGACAGAACACCTCAAGGAGCTGTTAAACTGGCCTCCAGCAACTATTTCAATGCCCGCTATCCAGTAGGATCCTGAATGGAGGATTAAGATTGGCCTCCGAACACTTTTAGAAGTCGAGAAAGCGGTAGGTAACTTGAAACGAGGAAGGGTAGCTAGTCCAGACGGACTAGTTCCTGAGGCCCATAAGGACGGTGGTAGAGTGATTTTAATGAAGTTAACTGAAGTATTAACTAGCTTATTCGAGCCAAATATGACTCCTCACTAACTGGTCTAAATCACTGATTACCCTAGTCTTCAAGAAAGGCGAGTTCTCTTGTGATAACCACAGAGGAATCAGACTGACGAACATAGTGTTTTTTTCATTCTATAATCATCAGACGCCTGAGTGGAGTTCTGGAACAGTTAGCTCAAGATAACTAGGTAGGCTTCAAACCTGGCCGTTAGTGTGTCGACCAAATATTCACACTCCGCCAGGTTTTGGAACACAGGGACGCTTACCAACGCTTGACACTAATTGTATTTCTTGACCTGAAGGCGGCATTCGACTCCTTCAATCGTGAAGTCTAATGTTAATATCTTCCATGGAAAGAGGTATCGGTAAGTACATCACCCTATTAATGGCACTTTACTCAAACATCTGTATGTTAGAGCCCATAGTGGCTCAATGGCCTACAAAATCCCTACACAGCTACAAAAGGCTCCGTTGGCTTTTACCAACTTACGCCGTCTGTGGTGCCACCGCGATATCCCATTGTCTATCATGAGTCGAGTGTACTGTGTTGCAGTTCATCCTGTTCTACTGTATGGTCGTATAACATGGCCGTTAAAGGTAGAAGACGTGAGAAGGCTTCAGGTGTTTGACCACCGTTGCCTTCATAGCAAATACCATGTTTCGTTGTGTCACCACGTGAGCAACGCAGACGTCGGACGTAGAGTTTCAGACTGGAGAGGTAAGACGGTTAAGACGGTTGTGACTTATGCCTACTCACTGTCTACCTCATCATCCAATTTTGGCCGAAGTAGGTTCAGTTTCGAAAAAGGCTCGGGGTGACCAGAATAAAACAGGGCATCAATGCACGAAGTCCTTGACTGTTCGTTTGAGGTATGTAGGTTGATGCAGACTAGCCGGTTGATGTCCACTGGACAAGCGAAACCGAGGGTTAGAGACTGTAGGTGATATGGCTGAAAATTGATGTCGGCGGTGCAGATTTATCCACATACTATCCTCGTCCTAACCGCTACACTCAATATCATTATTTTTTTCATTCCTGCTTCCTCTCTTTTACTGCCCTCTACTTCTTTTGACCCATTTTTCTTTCTTTCTTTGTCTTCCATTTTATCACCTTATTAGTTGATGTGCTGGTATGAGGTCTGGCAACTTGAACCGCTAAACAGTAATAACTGGTGCTATTGTAGTGGACGTTGCTGATAACAACGGATATAAACAGTATATTTCGAGAGGGTGGCAGGAATCATAGGGAATTACCGGCAATGGGTAAGGTTTCTGCCAAGAGCAACTCAGGAGACAACACAGGCGTATTACAGGGGATGCTGCTGATAAGAGTGTATGAAAAGCCAGTTAAGAGCAAATCAAGACAGGAACGGAGAGGAAACATTTGCGAATGGCTGCGTTACTGCAAGGAGTACCCCATATGTAACCACTACCATTCCAACTCTTCCTAATAAACATTCTCTCATCGAGTTGTCTTCTGTTTCTTCACTGTATTCATTTTGATGACGTTCTGAGATATCTCTGATTCGGTAGAATGGTTTTGACACTGAGTGATGATTGACGGAGGCTGCTAGCTCGAATCCCTCTATGACTCAGACTTTCATTTCCCCATCAAACATCCCTGAGTACTTAATAACTAACTGTTAAGTCATTCAGTGACAGTGGAATTATTTTATAAATAATTTTATAGAAAGCATTTTTTTTGTTAACTTGTAGTTTATCCAGGTTATTAGTATTTTGATGAAACTATTGTATCTGTGATATGAATCACTAAAAGTGTATCAGATGCTTTGGTATGGTGATTTCTTTGTTTATACTCAGAAGAGAAAAATAGTTGAAGAAAGTAGGAGTGATGAAAATGGACACCTGAAATTATTAGTATTTAACGTGTGTGTTATTTTATCTGTTTATTAAAATGACTTATGTCCTGGACCAATTATCAGTAGTATATAATGTACTGGTTATCTAAAATTGAAATGATATATACTACGTACATACTTTTGCGTGCATTTGAAGTATGAAGTTAAGTTGATTAACGATTTTGTGACTATTTGGTAGCTGTCATCATTCTGACTAGATCATTTTTTTTATGCACATCGTTACTAATATGTCATCTTCAATGTAACATTACAAAATACATTTACTACCATTTAAACTTCCTTTACAATCAGATTTATAATTACATCTCCTAGATTGCTACTATCCTATCCATCGAACTTGAGATACGATAATTACCAGAACTGTCTATCACGTCAACCAATAAGATTAAACTAAACTCTTAGTACTGCGGTTTGGCTGTCCTTCAAGTGTAGTTACGAGAAAGTATCATACAAGTAAACTAATTTCTTTCTAGAGATCTGTCGGAATTTTATACATTTTGAGTTAGCATTCATCATGAACTGATACCACAGAAGAAAGTGGAGATGGATTGGGCATACACTGAGAAGACCGATTGGGGACATCACGCTCCAGGCCACGCCCTCGAGTGGAAGGCAAATGCGAAACAATGAGTTGGGCGTGTGAGGTGAGGGTGAATGGAGGAGATGATGTGAGGAGGAAATAAAAGCTTGTAGGCAATGGTGGAGCCAGGTTAAAAGAGAAGACTGGAGAGGAGAGAATGTAATGGAGGCGTGCTACTGAATTCGTTTGTTCCACTAGGAACCCAATGGAAAAATAAATAATAACTGATGATCTGATACCAGTCCAGTACTCAGTAGTGACTTATTTAGAGATGAGATTCCAGTAAGTCCTAGTTAAAAGTCGTGACCTCTGGGTCAAACAAATCCTGACGTGAGAACAGGTACTCAACGATGGCATTGGTTAAATATCACGCTGTACCACAAATTCACAGAAGTAGGAATGTTTGAACCACTAGAATCCGACGTAGTGACTCAATGGCATTCTGCTGGCCTCGAAATCCGAAGGTCTTGTGTTCAACCCCTGCCGATGTTTTGGGTCTGCACTGCTGAGCAGTCCCATATTGAAACGAAACAGATATTCAGTGCTTCCAGGTTTTTAGTGGTTCTCTAGTAGATGTCAGTTCATGTATTTCCAGCAAACTGAAGATTTTTTATCTTTCAAAAATAGCACCCAAAAACGAAATTAATAAATCTGGATATTATAAAAGAAGTTGGGATGAGCAAGACGAACAGTGTGTACTTAAGTAATACAGACACATCTAGATATCAATGCATTAGATTTTCCAACTGGCTGTAGATTACCATCTAATAACGGGGAATATTAAGCACACATTATAACCGTGAAATAGAAGCCACTGAAGAAAGAATTAGAACTATACAAACCATGTCCCAAAATTGTGGAGTTTCCTGATATGAATATGGACAAACGCGATCCAATAAAAGATATTGCTTCACAGTGTGACATATCATAAAAAGATGGGTGACTTTAAAGGCTATCCTAACAACTGGTTGAGTTAACCAATTGCCTTATGACAAACTACCCTCCCAGCCGAAATTCGGGTGACATTGAATGCCAATCTAGCAACGATCGAAATAACCAATCAGGTCTCTTCATTTCACCTGGAAAGGCAGGTTTCCGTAAAATTATTATATGAATTATTATGAACAACTGCCTTTCTAACCCGAATACCGAAACCTGAATGGTTATTACAGCAGTTGCTATAGTGGCCCTTATAGTTGCCCTTACAATGCCCAAGTTTATTGCCATATTGATAAGTTACTGGGTTCTAGTTCAAATTGATTAGGCCAACGTGTAGGGTCAGCTGTAATTGTTTTTACCGAACAGGTAGGTTAGGTAACTTTTCACCAGTCTTACATGTATTTCTTTAGAACTCATTGAACACTTACAAACCTTGTCTTAATCACTGATTGACTATCCAATATCTAGTTCACAGTTGCATTATCTCAATCGGGCGACTTTAAAGATCACCCTAACAACTGCCAAAATAACCAATCAGGTTGCGGCATTTTGGCTGGGAAAGGTGATTGGTTGTTCCATCAGTTGCTAGGATGGCTCTTAAAATCGCTCTGTCAATGAAATATTTCACACATGAGTGACTGTTTTATTGCACTAAATACTTATCTAAAATGTGGATTATTGATAAAGATTTTCATAAGCAGCCTATTGGTCAACAGTTCATATTCATTCGTTCATTGGATGATAACCACTATGTGCCAGTTGTATCGATTCGTGGTCACGTAGCCTAGCGTACATATTATATAAATAGATATCAAGTTACAATGAAAACAGTTATGAAATCCATTTCTTGAATGTCATGAAAAGGCGAAAAATCATCTTGATTTTGAGTTTCTTCAAGATAGCAATCTTTTACACGTATTTGCAATGATCACAAACATAATGATCAAGATAATTATGATAATTTGTTTGGTTGTGGCTAGCAGAGGAATCCAGGACGCTCGTTTCGTCCTATTTAGGACTCGTCAGCTAGACGTACCTGTACCCCAGTGAGAAGTTATGTTATTCCCACTGAGACCTTAATGTCATACTCATCACTTTAAACTCCAAGGTGTTATCCATTATTCCACCGAGGCACGATAACCACTTCTCGTACAACAGGTATTAGTTATTACTGTCTGTTGATATACTTGTAATCAAGATAATTGTTACTTTGATTTTGATTATAAAACCTGAGGTTAACTTATTAAAACAAATTTAAAATTTATTCTTCGTTCAAACTATATTCACAGAAATATGTGGCGTTGTTTAAAAAATAATAAACTTCTCCATATTTACAGTACATCTAATGCTTTGTAAAATTTTATTATATTTTGAGGGTGTTGTGGGGATTTGGAAATATTTCAAGTTGTTATTCATCGTAGACTGACATCAGTTGGAGGGACAAAGGAGACCTGGAAGCACTGGACAGCTGTTTTGTCCTAGTATGGAACTCCTCAGCAGTGCGTACCCACGACCCGCTAGGGATGGAGAAGTCGTGACCAGTGGGGGCGAAGCCTGATGGTCGTGAGGACAGTTACTCAACGATGACACTGGGTCGCAGTTGTGCTATATCATGAGCTAACAGAAGTTGGAAATATGGATCACTGGATTCTGACCCAGTGGCTCAATGGTAACGTGTTGGCCACGAAACCTGAAGGTAGCGGGTTCAGTCCCTGGCGGGGAGGGGTCATGGGTGCGGACTGCTGAGGAGTGCCATACTAGGACAGAACAGCTATCCAGTGCCCCCAGGTCTCCTTTGTTCCTCCAACTGATGTCAGTCTACGATGAATAACAACTTGAAAATTTTATTGTGTTGAATAGTATGATGTTAAGTGATTGCTGGAAAACCCAGCTTCAATTAGGCTTCGTTTACTTTAGTACTCATCAACCTTGAAGGAACTGACGTCTCTTCAATGATGCGAATCTGTCTGACTCAGTGTTGAAATCAAGGATTAGTGTCAACGTTTATTAAAATAACATTTTTGTCTACAAACTATAAATCCAGAGTACACTGAAATTCTATTCATTAAACATGCCAATCCTAAGTGTAGACCATAACATATCAGTAATAAACAAATATGGCTACTGATGGTGGTAGACATTTAGAAGATGAAAAACCGATAAATATCACGTATAATAAACTCTGTGTGAGATAGTATAATAACTGTACAAAGGAATGATTTTCGTCGAATTCACAACATTCGGTCTACTTTAACTTCACTTCTTTCATTTAACAGCAACACGACTACCTGTAATTATAAGTGGATATCATATGATTTCATTTTAGTCTGTTTATTAGGTGTGGCACACATTGAAGGAACAGTATCATTTACTGGATAACATTGTTTTGGACACAATCTATTAGCCACATTCATATCAGGTAACTAACTCAACAACCTTCACACAGAGTTTATATACTCCTAATTTTTTTCTCCTTCTCTGTCAGATAACACAAAGGTAGTGGAATTTTCCACACATCAGGGGCAGGTGCACAATCAATCATTTCTATTACCGCATGTATTTGGTGCTTGTTGATTCGATAAACAAGGACCCAGTTTAGAGACTAGTGTCTATAGGAAACCTACCCATTCGAAACAGTACTTAAACTTCGAATCCTCCCACCGCATCTCAGTTAAAGTAGGCTTAGTTAAATGCATAAGAGAGAAGCTTGGCTGTAGCTCTGCACGCAGTTACACACAATCACACAGTAGTGTGGGATAGAGCGACAGCGTTAAAAACTAGCTTAGTTGGGTGGATGGAGAGAGAGGTTGATAACTGGGTCCTTGTTCATCGAATCAGCAAACACCAAATGTATGCAGTAATAGAAATGATTCTGCACCTGTCCTAGATATATGAGAAATTCTACTTCCCTTGTATCATCTCACAGAGAAGGAGGAAAAAATTAGGACTACACAAACTCTGTCTGGAAGTTGTGAAGCTACCTGATATGAATGTGGCGAATAGATTGTGTCCGAAACGATGTTATCCAGTAAATGATACTGTTCCTTCACTGTGTGCCCCACCTAATAAACAGACTAAAATGGAATTACAATGTGCCACAATGCCCAAATTTTACACCTATATTGATGAATATCATGTGCTTTATACGAGTTACATAACAACAAAAGAGCAAAATTATCAACTAACCTGATATGACGTCATGACAGCAATTAGTATGAGAATAGCAGTCCCAATAATATTGATTTTTGTCTCATTATCATCATATCTGTCATAATCTATGCTTGTTTGTTGATGACAATTTTTTTCTGATCTGTTTATTAGTTTTGAGCTTTTACCCATGATAAATTTGCATATTACACGGGAGAAATGAAAAAGTATATTCAAACTAATAAACAGGAATTGTTTAACACCAAAAACAGCTAACATTAACATATGTGGAGTCCATAGGTATTTCATACGGACTGTACTCCATGCAAGAAATCCAAAGCTGAAACTATAAGCTGAATAAAGAGTTGAAATATACTGTAACAATTGTGAGAAAATAATAAGTGAAGTTAAAAATGAAATCTAATTTTAGCTTTTGTGATTTTTCAGGTGAGTAATAACGTCTGTTCAACAACTGGCTAAGTTTTATGGACGTATTCTTCCATTATGACTCCTTTGAAGTGAAGACAGGAGCAAAACAAGGCTGCCTACTATCACTCATGATATTCCTGATTGTGGTCGACTGGATCATGTAGCAAACCATGAGGATCAATGAAAACAGCCTAGAAGATTTGAATTTCTCCAACAATTTACGTTTAATGTCGCACAAACTTGAAGATCTACAGACGAAAACTAACAAGTTGACAGAAGAGGCGAAACAGAGCAGCAAAGATGGGAATTCAAGTGAACGTAGAGAAGACAGAGGTGATGAAGATACCCAGCCAACAATAGCATCCACAACAACAAGAGGCACCAATCACCATGAATGGGAGAAACTTAAAGGAAGTAGTCTCTTTCACCTATCTAGGCAGGCAACACCGTCTCAACTACAGGCGGCACACGCACAGACGAGGACGACAAAGCCAGTCAAGATCGGAAAGAGAGTAAGACAAGCCTTCCTTCATTAATCTGAAATAATCGGTGTGGAGATCTACTGCACTGCACTGCATCCAGCACAAAGCGTGAACAAGAACCGGATTTTCAACACTAAGTCAGTCAAGTCAGTGCTGCTACACGGTTCACAAACTTGGTGTGTCACGAAAAGCATTTCCAACAAACTACAGACATACATCATCATCATCATCAACAGCTGCCACCTGCGCTCACTCGATACTGAAGATCAGATGGCCAGAATAATAAGAATAAGCAACAAGGGACTCTTCAACACACAGATTGGAACCGTCGTCACTCAGTTCTACTGTCTCAGATGTTAGCAATAAGCTATTTCTCCAGTCATTATCATTTTTGAATGTAAGCATTATCATTATCAAAACTGATTCTCACAAAACGAAAAGGTAAATCAAATAGATCTTTTGTACTCAATTTTCACTGTTGTATTTGAAATTATGATTTTATGATCTTCTGTGGTCAGTATATCAAGTTAAATGAAGTTTCGTGGATCATACTAACAAATGATCAATTTTAATTAGTATCGGTTACAGTAAATCAGCTGATTTTAGTTAGAATTTAGAGTTTTTTGATGACAGTTATTTTTAACAATAATTTTTACAATTCATATGTAAGAAGTTAATAGTAATTAGAAAAATTCTCCCCTTAATTTACCAATAAAAATCAATTAAATTTATGAAAACTTTTTTTTTGACTCAATTCAATGAAAAGATACTTCATCAAAATACATTACTTTTTATAGTATGAAGTTTGTAATTAAAAGTTGAACTTGAATATAATGAGGTATTGATACTAGGCGATGATGGAAGGTGAAATGAAAACCTAGATTACGGACGGGTTGGAAACAGCGACCACTGGGTTTCTGGACCAATGGTCTACCAATTGAGGTACGAAGTTTGGCTGCTGACCGGATTTTTATTTCACTTCAATTACCATAGGTTTTACCCGACTATCATGTGAATTCGTAATGCATTACTACCGCTTTATCGTAATCACACTGGCTGCCTAGTCAGTACTTCTCATTCTAATCGAAATCTAACTGAATTAGATAAAAGATGGGGGGAGGGGGAGCATCCTAATGATTATCATTTTGACCGAACACCCGGCGGTCGTTGGTTTGAATCCAGCCGTGGTTTGAATTTTCATTTCACCTTCAATCATCACCCAGTATCAATACTAGTCTACCAAACCACGACTATCTCAGATAGTTAAATCGATAATGAAGTATGCAATTTTTGTCATCTAAATTTTCAACATTTTCATTAACAATAATCTATCTAATCCCCTCTACTCTTGTAAACTCTTGTCAGTTTTTATTGCCATTCTTTTCCAATCCACTTACTTTCATATTGTTATGAGGTGTACCAACTTTAACTGCTTTTTTCAGGATATTATTTTACCTTTATCTTTCTGTCCTATCTCATTACTTTGTAAAAAGTATCTTCACTCAGATCAATGTTTAGATTATATGCTCTTTAATTCATCAAGAAATACATTCCAAAAACTAAAACTGAAGTAAACAGATTGTTCAGGATACTTCATTATCATCAATCATCTCATTACGAAATCGACCATATTGTATTATTCTAACTATGAAACACTCAGCAGAGTTTCATTGGGATCACATTTGAATAATAAAAAACTGAATTCAATGTACAACATGCAAATAGGTTAAAAGGCTTGGAAACTGTGATCAAGAGTAATGGCATAAATAGACATGATATAACTATATCTGGTAGCTGAAAAGATTAAATATCTATGTGTTAGTATTTTTCTTCAGCCTATATAGGATTTCGAATCGAAGAAAGCGTTTGGCGAAAGGATAGTCTAGTGTGAGATTAACATATTCAAGTTTAACCGAAGTGCAGAATTGTGGAAGCGTTTTCTTTCAGAATTCAAGTACTCAGATCACAAAGTGTGACATATTTGACATTAAAAATACCATCAAGTTATGAACGACAAGAAAGCTGAAGGATTTAAAACATCATTTCACATAAAGTATCATTCGGCATCATGTTTACTATAATAAAATAATGATTTACTAATTCTTTCTGAAGTCATACTATTTTTGTTCTATATAGTAATGATGGGTAGTGGTAAGCAGTGAAATCCAGCATTGGCGTTTCATCCTATTTGGGACTCGTCAGCTGGATGTCGTTGCACAGTATAATACAAGTAATAACACTAAAGATTTTCTAGTTTACAAAAGCTCAAAATAAATCTATTCGGCACACTGTGAATAATATAACTTGACCCCTATAAGGAAAAAAAAATCAAGATAAGGAGGTTTGCTTGGAATGAATAGTTTTATTACATTTAAAAATAACCGGAGTACCTACTGAAGATCAGAGTAAACTGTAAATTCTCAGATGCGTTAACCGATGATTGCTTCAGGGATCGAGCAAAAAAAAATTATCATTAGTTAACTATTTATAGGACTCATGGACTCTTGTGGCGGGGAACTAGAAAAAATTGAGCTGAAAATGTATCTAGTGCTTCTTGATTTTCAATGATAAGAATTTCTTTAACAGTGTAAGAAGAAAGTATGATAACCTGCAGAGAGTTTAATTGTACCATAATTTTCATAAACAATTATTATGAGAAAGTCTTCTTTTCGTAAGATCTTCATGTTAAACACGATTTTGTTATTAATGTCTGGTAGGTGAATGAATTGATGAGAAGGCTCTTAGACTAAATTCTGCGCTAATTCATTCATTCATATAATCCTCGAAAATGAATATCTGCAACATTAAGTATGTTATACTTTCTTGTACTAACTAATTTTCTTCTTTTTAACCAAAAATCATTGATCTTGTCTATCGCTGTCAACCTTTTTATTACTAAGCATCAGAACTGTGTATGTGCTTTTATGTCAAGTATAAAGGGTAGAGACAGTAAGTCATTATATAATGTCATACACTTTATCGAATGAAGTGTTGTTCACATTTTCTTTCAGTTTTATCTTCACTGTAAGGTTATGCAATATTTTTAATCAAGTTACTATGTCGTATTTTGAGTTTAATGGGCATCTAATTTTTAAGGTGGTATTCGTCACGGAATGACAACAATTAGAGAACTCGAAAGCAGCACTGAACATGTGTTTTGTCCAACGAGTATGTAACTCCTTAGCAGTATGTACCCACGGCTTCAGGTCAAACTCAGGACATTCAAGTTTCATCACGAATGCCTTAACTATTCAGCCTTCGAGCTGCAGTTCAGCGCTCAACAGTTTCTTAATTCTGGCAATTCATGGTGTAGTGCAACTATCCACCAAGATTTTCAGCTGGCATCCGCTTCATTTCCAACCAGCTGAACCCTCACATTACAAATTCTCATTATAACTTCAGGACATCCATTGTGTTGCACGTCGTCAATGAGTACTATACAGTAAAGTCTTTTGAGGTTAATGAGGATTGTAATTTTTAAAGTAGTATTTATTGTGGACTGACAGAAGTAGGAAACTGTGGACTAATGAATTCCGACCCAATGGGTGAGTGCTTAAAGCGTTTGTCGTGGAACTTGAAGTTCCTGAGTTTGATCTTTGGTGTGGTCATGTGTTTGCTCTACTGAGGAATCTCATATGAGGACGAAACAGCTGTCCACAGCCCCCAGATTTCCAATGATTCTCAAAGTGATGTCAGTACGTAATGAATACTACCTTAAAACGTTACTGCACTGTTCATAATTCTTACACTGCACACAAGGTTACAAGCGTCTTCTGAGTTCAGTAACAGTTTAACATTGAACAATTCAACTAACAATCTCACCTAAATGCCAGGCTTGAATTCGTGAAAGTGAATGAATTTCATTTTTCTTTCTAAATTCATGCAAATTTGTATATGATTTTTGAGTTATTTCTGTGGACAACTTTTTGTATAATCGAATAAAGCGATTGTTGGCAATCCTATAAATTATTAAGGTAAAAAAAGTCACCATCATACTACTTTAAATTCATTCAAGTATAAATATAGTTGAATTGCATCAAAACAGAGATAAAGTTATTAGTTGAAGGTAAATGAAAAGCTACCGGAAAAAGATAAGTGATAACTTCACAAGGACTAAAAACTTTTAAATCTTGCTGGTATTGTGTTCTCTGAGCTGGATTGTTTAATCGTGAAGCTTTCATCGTCATTCGACACGATATCATCAACACTAACTTCAGTATGAAGTGACCTGTCAGTATTTCTCCGTCAGTGATTCAGCACCTTGCCCTGACCAACTGGTTTGGTCATTCATTACGTAGATTTTCCTGTTGACTGTTCCTCTCCTTGAACTCTCCTCTTTCTGTTATTTATCATTTTTCTCATTGGTTAATAAACTGTGTCCATGTCTATACATCCATTGATTGCTGACTTACTGACTGACCTGAATGCAAAGCCTCTACGAATTCTTCAATATTCTTTGTCTGTCCTCTCTCTCCATTCAAAATTTCTACATTGTCAAAATTCAATTCATGTCCATACTTGTTATCCACATGCATTGCAATGAGTGATGAAATGTCATGATGCGTTTAATAGTCAATTGATCATATAGACAAAGGTGAAGAGGGTGACCACTTTGTCCAATGTACTGTTGACTACAGTTATTCCAGTTGATTTTGTAAATGATATTCGGTGTGTGTTGGTTGGTTGTTGCATCGTTTTGTCTGCATAATAGTGTTTGGAGGGAATTCGTTGGTTTATGAGCCACACTGCAATTCCACTTAGAACGTCACTACATGATAAACGGCAGAAAGGTGAGAGTTCAAGTATAGGAACAGCCAACAGGAAGATTTATGTAGTCAGTCAACGACACAACAATCCAAAGAAACAGCCAATCACAGACCACTTCGTCAATGCAAGCTACTAAATCACTCACAGAGAGATACTGACAAGTCACTTCATGCTGAAGTTAGTCCTAATGATGTCGTCTAGAAAGACAATAAAAGCTTCACGATTAAACAACCCAGCTCAGCAAACACAATACAACCAAGACCATCCACCTGAGCTACAAATATTCTCCACTATTTCACTTTTAAATACCATATGAAAAGGATATTTCATCTTGTATACAGTTTTTAAAATAAATAACTGAAATTTTACAAGTCTAATGAATCTATTGGACATTAAAACAATGAACTCAATCATATCTAGTGTTTATGAGTTAAATAGTTTTCCTTTTTTGAGTGATCGTCTTAATGATTTAGTCAGCTTCTGATAAAAACTGAAATTCGAAGTAATGATTATTTTGAAATCATACTGTGCAATAATAAAAATGATGATAAACTGACTCAGTTATGAATAAACTTAAAAGTTAACTATTTAATAGAGAGTATATTTCATTTCGACGAAAACACTTCAAGAAGTACTATATTATTATATTATTTGTCCCTTGGGTTCCTACTGGAGCATAGGGCTTCAGTAGCACGTCTCCAGTGAACTCTGTTCTCTGAGATCTTTTGAACCTGGTCCCACGACAGCCCAGAAGCTCTCATTTCCTCTTCACACCATCTCCTCCATGTCACCCTCGTCTCGGACGCCCAACTCGTCGCTCCCCATCTGGGTTCCACTCGACTGTCTGACGTGTGACGTCCCCAGTCGGTCTTCTCAGTGTATGCCCAATCCATTTCCACTTCCTTTCACTGCATATTTGCTGAACGATAGGTTGTTGGTTGGTTCGTTCCCAGAATTCCCTGTTGCTTATTCATTCTGGCCTTCTGAGCTTCAGTATCGAGTGAGGGTAGACATTTGTTGATGAGTGTCTGCAGTTTGTTGGAAATACATTTCGTAACGCACCAGATCTCTGAACCGTATAGAAGCACTGACTTGACTGACTTAGTGTTGAAAATCCGGTTCTTGTTCACGCTTTGTGCTGGATGCAGTGCAGTGCAGTAGATCTCCACACCGATTATTTCAGATTAATGAAGGAAGGCTTGTCTTACTCTCTTTCCGATCTTGACTGGCTTTGTCGTCCTCGTCTGTGCGTGTGCCGCCTGTAGTTGAGACGGTGTTGCCTGTTTAGATAGGTGAAAGAGACTACTTCCTTTAAGTTTCTCCCATTCATGGTGATTGGAGCTTGTTGTTGTTGTTTGTGGTGGTGGTGATGATGGTGTTGGTTGCGTATCATCACCTCCACCTCTGTCTTCTCTATATTCACTTGAAGTCCCGTCTTCACTGCACTGCCTCGCCTTTTCTGCAACTTGTTAGTTTTCGCCTGTAGATCTTCAACTTTGTGTGACATCAGACACAAGTCATCATCGGTGAGATCCAAATCTTCTAGGTTCTTTTCCGAGGTCCAGTCAGCGTATCCTCCTCTTCTCACAGCACCTCACAGTTGTCTGCTGCATCATCCAGTCGACCACAATCAGGAATATCATGGGGGATAGTAGGCAACCTTGTTTCACTCCTGTCTTCACTTCCACTCCAAAGGCATCACTGAGCTGAGCTTCCCATTGTGAATTACTTGGCATGTGGCGTCTTCATATACTTGTTGAATGAGGTTGATAGTGGTTTGTGGTATTGTGTAGTGTTGAAGTAACTGCCTGTCAAATTACTTGTCGGTCGACGCTGTCAAAGGCCTTTTCAAAGTCGATGAAGCCGAGTTGAGGATATAGGGATGACTGGCATTCTATACTCTGTTCTATGATGATGCGTAGTGTTGCAATTTGATGCCCACATGATTTGTACTTCCTGAATCCAACTCATCGCATAGTCTCTCCAGGATGATGGAGCTTAATAATTTGCTTGGGGTGGACAGAGGTGGAGCACGATTCCTTGCCAGTTCTTGCGAAGACTTTGGTCTCCCTTTTTTGGACGTTTGACAAGGTAGTTCTTCTTCCAGTCACTCGGCAGGTAACTTCCTTCCTTCCAAACCTCCTGCAGTAGTGGTGTGAGCATGTCCACTGTTATCCCTGCGTCTATTCTCAATGTTTCTGGCGGGATTTCATCTGGTCCTGCTGCTTTCCCTCATTTCAGTAGCTTTATGGCATTCAGGACTTCCATTTTTGTTGGAGTATTTGTGTTCACTTGTAGTCCTGTGGCTGAGATGCTGGTGGTATTTCTGGACGAAGTGCAGGTGGTGGTGGTGGTGGATTCAAGAGCTTCTTGAAGTGGTCAGCCCATTGTTTTGTTTCGTTTGTTTGTCTTCTTTGGTAATTAGATTTCCTTCATCATCTTTTATTGGTTTCATCAGTGTTGATCTCTCCCCTCCCTGATAGTAACCATGTTATTTGATACAATGCTGTCAGATCTCTGTCTCTACTACCTGCAGTCTGTTCTGCTTCACTTGCCAATGTGTCGTAGAAGTGTCTTTAGTCTTTCCGCACACTCTTCTTCACTTCTTTTTTCAGTGTTTTATACGTTGTGCTCAGTTCCTTTTCTCGTCGTTCATCTTTGCACTGGTTGATCTTCTGCTTCACCATCTTCCTCTCCCCGCTCTATCAGCTTCCATGTGTCCAATGAGATCCATTCCATCCCTTGACTTGCTTCTTCTTCCTTCCTAATACGGCTGTGCAGGTTTCTTTCCATATAGCTTTCAAAGACTTCCAGTCATCTTCCACACAGGTTTCTTCACGGATGTTCCTCGATATCTCCCATTTTGTCGTGATGGATGACTGTCGTGAACATGTCCCTTGCAGTTTCGTCCTTCACTTCAGTCTGTGTTCTGGGTGAGTGTTCAACTTGAACCGTGGTCTACCAGCAACTTACTGGAAGGCTTTCAACTTGATTTTGAATGTATGTAGGTTCCTTGCACTAGACAATGAGTGGTCTGAACCTACATCTACTCCTCTTCTTGACCTTGTGTCAAGTAGGCTGACTACGTCTCCACTTTCTTCACATTGAGATAAAGTCGATCTGATTTTTAGTATGTCTCGTGTCTGGTGAAATCCATGTGGCTTTGTGGATATCCTTGTGCTTGAACACAGTGCCTCACCTCCAATCATCAAATCGTTGAATGCACAGAATTCTGCAAACAATTCTCCATTCTCGTTCATCACCTCACCGAGCGCTTCTCCACCCATGGTTAGTTCTCTTCCTGTGTTGTCGCCTCCCAGTTTGACATTCATGTCACCATTGGAATTTCCATGTCACCAATTGAGGTCTTGTCGAGTGTTGATTGAAGTTGTCTGTAGAATTCCTCCTTCTTCTCCTGGCCTACATTAATTGTAGGTGCGTAGTGTAGCATAGCATTGTATGATTGTGACCTTCCTTCCTTCCTTCCTTCCTTCCTTTCGAGTTGAATCCATCTTGCTGTTATGATCCTGATTGTGGAGGAGATTGGTTGCCACTGCATGAGAGAGGGCGTTTGATGCTGTTGGGGACATCACGAAAGCTACTCCATAACTCAGTGTGTTCGTGTTTGTCGTGTGGGTGACAATATCGGAGTAGATTATTGATTCTCGAGTTGACAGTTTGGAGAGTCCACTCCCATTCCATCTGTAGATTCCTCACAGATTCCTAACACTTCAATGTGATACCTTCTCATCTCGTTTGTAATCTGGGCAGCCTTGCTAGGTTCATACATGGTGCGGACATTCATTCCATGTTCCCATCCTTACTTTTGTTTTCATCGATTGAGAGAAGACACGTTGGCCAATTGGCTTCGTGGAGGCTTTCACCAACTGGCATCATTTCGCCTCTCGGATTCCAGTGAGGAATAATTTTGTTATTATTTTTTATATTTTGTTTGTGCTTTGAAGTTTTTTTAGTGGTTGGATTAGTTTTCCGGGGTAGGGTTACTAGCCCTATGCCGAACCTTCCCTCTTTAGGTGGGCTTAGGACCAGCTAGTAAACTAGTGAACTAGTTAACCAGGCGTGGTTTCAAAAAGCACTAAAATCCTATTTTTAGAAACTGGAAGGATACAAAAGTCTAATCTGATAACAGTGATACAGTGTAATTCTATATGAAATTAGTCTATTTGATCGAGTATTCAGAGACACTGTACTATCTACTGAATGCCATTTCAAGCACAATCTATTACTGATAATTCTATCAGGATAGTCAACAACTTGCTAACTCATGGTGCTACTGCTTTTTTTTTTGGTTTCACTCATATTAGGATTTCTCATCTATCTAAGACCGATGTTGGGTTATTTTAACCACACGTGTGAGGCGCTGAGTCGATGAAAAGATTCAATGAACAATTTCTCTCCACCTAACTTTATTAGTCTTCAGGACTGTTCCATCCTATTGTATAGTTGTGTTGTAGCATCTATAGCTTTAACTAAATTCCAAACTACTCATCTTAGTAGAGTCGGTCAGTCTACACTTAGCTGCATTCCTATGTTCCCCTAACCTAATTGATCCAAATCTGCTAGTTTAGCTTATGCACTTAACCTTGCAGTCGTTGTAAGGTATATGATAAATTATTTTGTTTAACTGAGTTAATAAAATCCTTAGATCGACAAAGCTTGTCATTGGGTGGGTGTTACGTTTGAATATCACCTTTATCCCAACCTTATTAAAAAATCCTACGTAGGGTTTCCGATGTCACTTCTTTATACGGTATAACAATAAAGACCTTGAACTCTTTCACGGTCATGTTGTAATCACTACTCACATCATTACGTTCCCTTTTTTCAAGGATCCTTTAGAATTTCTGAATAAATTTAAGAGATAAGTTATTGATAAGTAAAGCTTTCCTACATGTTGAACATTTAGCCTTATTTCTTGAGCATTCAACTAAACCAATGTTTACAACAGTTCATTATTATACTGAGTGATGATTGAAGGTCAAATGAAAATTTGGATCGCTGCCCGATTGGAACCAGCGACCACCACGTTTCCGGTTTGATGCTCTAACAATTCAGCTACGAGGTCCGACTGCTGACTTGATTTATTAATTATTAACTACCACCGATGATCTTCCTGATTGTGGTCAACTCAACTGGACTGCACTGGAGTGGATCATGCAACAAACTGTCAGGAAAGAGAAGAGGGGAATACACTAGCTGGATCTATGAAAAGACTCTAGAAGATCTGGGGTTCGCTAACGATAATGATTTATGTCCACTTTCCTGTCACACAAACTAGAAGATATACAGGCAAAAACTAACAAGTTGAAAGAAGAGCAGAAGTGAAGCAGGGAAACGAAAACTGGACTTCATTCAGGTGAACGTTGAGAAGACAGAGGTGATGAACATACCCAACCAACCAACCAACCAACCAACCAGCCAACCAACAAACAAACAAACAACAACAAGCAACAATCACCATGAACGGGAGAAATCTGAAGGAAGTTATCTCTTCCACCTACCTACCTACCTACCTGACTCGGTACCATCGTCCCAACTACAGGCGGTACAGGCACAGATCACAATGTCAAAGTCAGGATTGGAAAGACAGCAAGACAAGCCTTCCTTCATTAATCTGAAATAATCAGTGTGCAGATCTACTCCACTCCACTCCACTCCACTCCACTCCACTCCACTGTACTGTACTGTACTCAACATAAAGTGTGAACTAGACCCGGATATTCAACACTAATGTCAGTCAAGTCACTCAGTGCTTCTATGTGATGGTTGAGAGACTTGATAGAGCGTTACGAAAAGTATTTCCAGTAAACTACAGATATACATGAACATCTGCCACGTACGCTCACTCGATACTGACACTGAAGAATGATCAGATGGATGGCCAGAATAATAAGAATAAACAAGAAGGAACTCTAACCGGCTGGCTAGCAACAAACGAAACCGACCGACAACTTATCGCCCAACAAATATGCGGAAGAAAGTGGAGATGGATTGGATTGGGCATACACTAAGAAGACCATTTGGGGACATCACGCGTCAGGTCAGGCAAGGCCATCGAGTGGAAGCTAAATGGGAAAGGACCAGTTAGGCATCCGAGTTGAAGGAGACATGGAGGAGATGGTGTGAGGAAGAAATGAAAGCTTATGGGTAGTCGTGGAGCCAAGTTCAAAAGACTGAAGAGAAGAGGGTGAAATAGCTACGTGCTACTTAATCTCTGTGTTCCACTAGGAACTTAAGGGACAAATAATAATAATATAATCATAAAAATGAATTTTTAAAATAATATTAAAAATGTTTTCTTTGTTGAGATTGATTTTGAGCTTATTTACAAATTACATAAATTGTTTTTGATCCCATAATTACTTTATACTCCATCTTGATATTTATCATCCAGTGGCAATAAATTGAAAGTATTCTTCATCAGTTATCGATAACCTCTTCAATATTGCCTAACTTACAATTACACGTTAAAATGGTAAGTGCAGTTTGAAGGTCTAAGGAGGCTTATGAATTTCAAGTTGGTATTCAAATACTCAACAGTGGTAATGAATCAAGGTTGAGTTTTATAATGAATTAACAGAAGTAGGGAAATGTGGATAATTTATATTCCAACCTATGGCTCAATGGCGACGTGTTCACCAAGAAGACTGAAGATCTTGGGTTAGACTCCTGAGTAAGGTCATCAGTGTACACTGATGAGACGTTCTTTACAACAACAATACAGATTTCTAACAGTCCCTTGATAAATGCCAAAATGAAAATGGTAAATGTTGTTCAACTGTATACAACATTCTTGAAAGCACTAGAAAATTCATAACAAACTGATATTCAATTCAGTGATAGCATCTACATCAAAATTAGCAATACCTTTTATGTCCGATATAGTGAGATAACATTTCTTTAATTAATACGACTAATCCAAATGCATAAGAAGGAAGAATCCATTTTGAACCAATGATTTCCATCATATATTGTTCTAGATCCATATGTTGGAAAGATTGACTGCATAAGTAAAGCGCTGTATCGAAATCCCTGCAAGCATAAATAAGTTTATTCGAAATAATAATATACACTTGTCTATTGAATAATATTACTTATTATTATTATTATTTGTCCCTTGGGTTCCTAGTGGAACATAGAGCTTCAGTAGCACGCCTCCATTCCACTCTCTACTCTCCAGTCTTTTGAACCTGACTCCATGACTACCCACAAGCTTTCATTTCTTCCTCACATCATCTCCTCCATGTTACCCTCGATTAATATTATAGCTAGGCAAATAACTAAGTTGGTGCTTTCTCAAGGTTGATTGGTTGCTGGCTGTCTTTCATTACGAATCGACAAAAGCTGAAGTACTATTTAAAAATTTGGAACACTAAACAACTGCTTCGTTCTGGCCATCCAATCCTCACGAGTGAGTGCCCGTAACCTCATAAAGGGTCGAGTCTAACATCACTGTCTCACAATGAGTACACAGCCATTCAGCCACTGAACAAGAATCCAGTAATCCATATTATCCTGTTCCTGTAAATTAGAAATACAAACCTGATGACCCCTAGTTCGACCTCCTACAGAATCATAGAGGCTCAAGAAACGCCCAAACTAGGGAGAAATAACTGTCTAATACTCGCCCTTTTGTAATAGTGCCTCAAATGATATGAATTCGGGGTGAAAAACACTTGAAAAATCTCATAACTACAATTATAGTAATCATGGATAGTGGCTGACAGTGGAATACAGGATGCACATTTCGTCCTATTTGGGACTCGTCAGCTGGATGTACCTGCTTCCAGTGATTGATGTTGTTAACACCAGGAAGCAGGCACATCCAGCTGACGAGTCCCAAGTAGGACGAAATGCGTATCCTGTATTCCACTGCTAACTACTATCCATTATTACTATCATTTGAGCACATGTAATATCAAGGCATCCGCACAGGAGCTCATACGCCACTAGACACTGATCAATTCGATCCACCAACGATGGTATGATATAGAAACAATTATAGTAAAGCTATATTTATAATTAGAGAAATCCTGAAAACACTACACACTTTGTAAAATGAAATGAATTCACCTTATTGCATAAGTTGTCATTAGCTTCATACAACCTTCAAGTAAGTACTTCTTGAAGGAATAACCCTAAGTGAAGAATAGGATTTCGATAAGTTGGAATTGGCTTTTTCACCATATTACTGGTGTACAACTACTGAAAGAATTAAGAAATATATGATACTTAACCTGCAATAAGATGTTTCAGATTTTATCATCTACAGTGATCAGCGTTTCAGAATACGTAACAACGGACTAGTCAGGATATCATGTGAGTAGACGGGAAATGACTACGATAACAATACTTATAGTAACAATACCATATCGAAGTTAACAACGAAAGATAAGGTGAGATAATAAATTACTGGATTCATGTTTGAAAAATGTCAAGGAATTGATGGAAAGAAAGAAGTTTTCAGCTGTTACTAGGTCAGGAGAAAGTTAATAACTGTGTTTTTTGAAAACTATGAACTGGGTCGAAATTCAAACTGATTGCTTTAGCTTGTGTGAAATGATTTCGTAGGCTTCATCTGCCTTCTTATAACACTCTATATTGACTTTTGGCTGGTTATTGTATTATTAAGTTGTTTATTACTTCTGAAAATTAATTATCACCTAAAAAAATTCGGAAATCATGACAAAGATGAACTTCTGTGTTCTTCTAATGTATGTTTGATTTTTGCCTCCCCAAACGTTGGAGTGTATCTCATTGCAATCCTATGGATGAAGTTTACATTTATCTAGACAGCATACTCCATGAAATCTCTATTAAGAATGTAATTTTTGTAAAAACGAACATCGTAGTGATTACAAAAATATCCAAATCATTAAAAACATTTCCTCTAACCAGTTAGAAAGATTGATATTTAATGGTAGATAACAGAAAAACGTTTCATCGTAACACTTAGTTGAGATTTCGCATATGTTTAACCATGAATCAAAAATCAGGATATCTAACGAACAATATGATACTCGACAACTCGCCCAAAAAACATAAGGAAGAAGACAGTATTGGACATTGGAGACTTTAGTTCAAGCAAAGGCTATGAATCTAGAGGCTCGGTTTTGCGTTTATATACACTGCGAGCGCCCTTACGAGTGAATAGACAAATAACCATATAAAAACAGAAGATTTAGAAATAAAAAAGCAACAGCTAGAAGAGTTGAAAATATGAATGATACACATGAGGAAGAAAAAGTGTAAAAATGATTATCATTTATTATTTTTCCCTTAGGTTCCCAGTGGAACATAATATTTCAGTAGCACGCCTCCATTACACTCTCTACTCTACAGTCCTCTCCTTTAACCTGACGACACAACTAACCACAAGCTTTCATCTCCTCCTCACATCATCTCCTCCATCCACCACCACCTCACACGCCAAACTCAACATTTCACATTCACCTTACACTCGAAAACGTAACCTGCAGCGTGATGTCCCCAATCGGTCTTCTCAGTGTATGCCCAATCCAATCCATCTCCACTTTATTCCTCTGTAGATTTCATGGGTGATAGGTTCTTGCTTGGTTCGTTCCCACAGTGACTTCGTTCTCGCTTATTCTTATTATTCTGGCCATCCATCCATCTGCTCTTCAGTATCGAGTGAGCGTAGGTGGCAGCTATTGTTGGTGATGATGATGCATGTCTGCAGTTTGTTGGAAGTGCTTTTCGTGACACACCAAGTTTGTGAACCATGTAGCAGCACTGACTTGACTGACTTAGTGTTGAAAATCCGGATCTTGTTCACGCTTTGTGATGAGTGCAATGCAGTGCAGTGCAGTGTAGTGCAGTGCAGTAGATCTCCACACTGATTTCTAATCCTGGTTTGACATCCTCGTCTGTGCCACCACCACCTATAGTTGAAATGATGCTGTCTAGGTAGTTGGGTAGGTGAAAGAGACTACTTCCTTTAAGTTTCTCCCACTCATGGTGATTGGTGCCTCTTGTTGGTTGGTTGGTTGGTTGGATATCTTCATCACCTCTGTCTTCTCTACGTTCACTTGAAGTCCCATCTTTGCTACTCTGCCTCACCTCTTCTATCAACTTGTTAGTTTTCACCTGTAGGTTTTTGAGTTTGTACGACATTTGTAAAAAAGATTATTTGAATTGATTAAATTTAGTCATGACACATTTCAATTTTCAGGATATAACAACTAAGAGGAAATCTGACATGAGTTATATTCACTAAGTAGTCATAAACAGTATACTAACCAGTTTATTATGATCACAATTTATGTAATGTGCATACAATTTACTCAATTTTGAATGTATTTAAATCTACTCAATTGTATCTCAATCTAAGATATCTGAGAATTTGAATGAAATTATTATTCAACTATGCTATGAGTTTTATCATCATCTGTTTATATCGATAATTTACTGTAAGATAACATTTTTTGAAGAAAATAATGAACGAATATTTGTTGATATACTGATTGATAATTAGGAATCATCCCCAATATTTTTATTTTGTGTAGGAAGTAAAAATTGTCATATATTTCTAAAAATCTTCATCTTTTATCATATGGAAATGAAATCAATAATCATTAGGTTGTACTATTTTTGTCACTGCAACCACCAACGCCACCATAGATGAAGTTGAATTTATGAGATATTTCCACACTTACTATTGAATTTTATCTTTGATTGGACTTCCGAGATTACTGTCCAATATTGTGTGGTTCATTCAGTCTAAGCTTTTGAAACCTATGCATCAATATATTAGAATAGCTCTGTACTGTACTCACCGGGATTCTACTGCCAGCCATTACTCATCATTACTATGCATAATTAAAACACAGGTAATATCCAGGTATCCGCATAGGAACCTATACAGTAACAGAGACTGATCAATTCGGTCCAATCAATGATGGTGTAATACAAGTAATAACACTAAAACTATACTCGTCGCACAAGAAGTGGCTGTCGTGGCTCGGTGAAGCTTTTGAAGCGATCGCTCCCAAGTCTAAATCCCAGTGGGAACAATATCACTCATCCAGCTGACGGGTCCTAAACGGAGGAAATACGCATCCTGGATTCCACTGCTAACCACTACCCATCATTACTGTCATTAAAGCACAGGTAATATCAAGGCATCCACACAGGAATCCATAGACACTGATCGATTCGGCCCAACCAACGACGGTATGGTATAAAAACAATTATACTATCCATTAACGTGTTTGAATAACCCTGAACTGAGAAGGCTAGTAAATTGCTTCTGATTTTTCAGTGGTATATTGTTATTCAAGCATATAGATCTTTGTGTTGTTAAAATATATCAGTTACACTTCCCATGACTGTATTGAAGTGTCTTGACTGCCCACGTCACAGATGGCGGCATAGTAATAATCATCCAGCACTGGAATAAAATCTAGTGCCCAAATAAAGATAAACTATGCTTCCCTAAAGTATTTTATGCTTTTATAAGGTCGTTGATAATGCACTTTCCATTCTTCTGCCTTGTGCTTATGGTCTAGTATCAGGGAGTGCCGATGTAAACTACAGTGACTGAAACAGTTAAGCAGTCGCTTTAGGTTACATGTTAACACTGACTAACAATTAGTATGGAATAAACTTCATTAGTTCACACATATTTGAATATATGAAGTTATTGGAAAACCAAATAACTAGGCTTCAGTTAGAAAAGCCTCAATATGTCATTGATAGCGTGGAAATCTGTGTCTCAACATTTGACTTCATAAAAAACAATGTAATATTCTGTAATTGTTTTCTTAAATATAATGAATCAAGATATTTTTATTTTTAATATACCTAACATAGGGTTGTATGTGAATCCTATTCTGTATATGTAAGAGATCGAATTAAGATGATTACCGTCAACATATTACTGTACAACAATATTGAATGATAGAATTATGATCCAAGTCAATTTATCTTACTTTCAACTCTAATAATTGTTCTTCTCATGAAATATACTCATTGATTCTACTCCGTATAATGATAAATAAGTCCATATTAATCATCACATTATCTTATCAAAGATAGATGTTCCATAAATATATACCAATTAAAAAAGCGACTTATTCAAATTGATATACAATATGTTATATGCACTAACCATTTATCGGATAGATGGAACTTGTGTAAAATAAACTGCAGAATATGTGATGCATCTTCATTTGGGTTTAAAACCTGAAGAGAAATTAAAAGATCCACAATGTATTCATATATATATATATATATATATATATATATATATATATATATATATATACCGAGAAGTAATTTGGCAGTTGCTTCAAAGCTACGAAGTGCCACAAACCTTTATCAACCTCACTCAAAAGTTTTATGGCAAGGCCACATGCCAAGTGATCCACAATAGAAAGCCCAGCGAAGCCTTTGAAGTAAAGTCAGGAATAAGACAAGGCTGCCTACTATCACCCATGATATTCCCGATTGTGTTCGACTGGATCATGCAGCAAACCGTGAGGAAAGATGAAAAGAGCCTAGAAGATTTGGATTTCGCAGATGATTTATGTCTAATGTCACACAAACTTGAAGATCTACAGGCGAAAACTAACAAGTTGATAGAAGAGGTGAGGCAGAGTAGCAAAGATGGGACTTCAAGTGAACGTAGAGAAGACAGAGGTGATGAAGATATCCAACCAACCAACCAACCAACCAACAAGAGGCACCAATCACCATGAGTGGGAGAAACTTAAAGGAAGTAGTCTCTTTCACCTACCCAACTACCTAGACAGCATCATTTCAACTATAGGTGGTGGTGGCACAGACGAGGATGTCAAACCAGGATTAGAAATCAGTGTGGAGATCTACTGCACTGCACTACACTGCACTGCACTGCATTGCACTCATCACAAAGCGTGAACAAGATCCGGATTTTCAACACTAAGTCAGTCAAGTCAGTGCTGCTACATGGTTCACAAACTTGGTGTGTCACGAAAAGCACTTCCAACAAACTGCAGACATGCATCATCATCACCAACAATAGCTGCCACCTACGCTCACTCGATACTGAAGAGCAGATGGATGGATGGCCAGAATAATAGGAATAAGCAAGAAGGAAGTCACTGTGGGAACGAACCAAGCAAGAACCTATCACCCATGAAATCTACAGAGGAATAAAGTGGAGATGGATTGGATTGGGCATACACTGAGAAGACCGATTGGGGACATCACGCTGCAGGTTACGTTTTCGAGTGTAAGGTGAATGTGAAATGTTGAGTTTGGCGTGTGAGGTGGTGGTGGATGGAGGAGATGATGTGAGGAGGAGATGAAAGCTTGTGGTTAGTTGTGTCGTCAGGTTAAAGGAGAGGACTGTAGAGTAGAGAGTGTAATGGAGGCGTGCTACTGAAATATTATGTTCCACTAGGAACCTATGGGATATATATATATATATATATATATGTATATATATATATATATATATATATATATATATATATATATATATATATATATATACAGCATTCCTTAACAAAGGGTGTGTTTAACCTCAGGGTGAGCGATACATGAGTATCTGCGTGATTACATTTCTGACTGTAATTTTCGGTAATGCTACCTAAGGTCTCTGATATAGTGATGGTTTACGCCGACGTTGCCTATACTTCTTCTCGATGAGTCCAAATAATTGAAAGAAATAGAGTACCACATTCAACTATCTAACGCAAACCGAAGTACGCCATGATTGGTTAGTTTGTTAGCTTATCCACTACATTTTAAGCTCGATTTATGAAAGTCTTGTTGGAAATTTGTACCAGATAGTATAAATATGATTGTTTATTCCATTTGATTCTCTAAATTATCCAGCAACAAAGCCAAATGACCCAAAGAAGAAGATTTGGTTCTAAATCTATTTGTCACTAAGACTGATATGAACAGAGGTGAAAGTATGTATGCATATGTTTTCAAAAAATACGATATCTAGGCAGAAAGATATGGTTCCATTGAGTTCCCTATTGGGATCATGATGGTTGATTGTTTTATGCCAAAACTTAAAAAAATTCTCTACCTGTTCAAACCATCAAATGCTTTAACGTTTCCAGAAGACAAGGATTATACGTATGTCATCTGTGACGAGGATTTTGATTTACTAGAGGTTCTACATTCATTTAGCTGTCATTCAATTTCAGGGGTCACTTTCGAGAAACTGAAATCAGTTGTTCCTTCTTAATGTATTTCTTACCAAATATAGTGGTGAATCACTAAATAGATCCATCTACAACAAATCCACCAGAAATGGATAAATAAGTTTCTTAGTTAGATGCTTGTCATGAGAGAAAGAAACTTCGTTCATTAGGTTTACTATTTGATGAGGAATATTTGTAGCTCAGATTATGAAGAAGATGAACCAACTTTCGTTAGAAATATGCTTACTATCAATGGTTTACTTAAGTTTTTAGATTAAGAATATGCTAAATTGATTTTTCCACTCACTTTCGAAAATGACTTCGTCTATGAATTTCGACTTTAAAGAGGATATATCATCAAATTCACCTTCAAAATTGTTTTTCTAGATCAATCAAAGTACCATTCTTTGCAATAAAACTCTAGTTGACTGGTACTGACAGGAAATTGTTTCTTGGGTGTGTGTACTTATATGTAAAAGACAGTTTTTCTCGTCAGGCCACCTTTCCTTCTATTGACTGATTTGTCTAATCCTATGGAGTAACGAATGTTGGCCGTAGCCAGCGATTTTTTTTTAACATACATATTAGAGTTTACGTCAGCGTGCTTTCATATGAATAGATTCGGGGTGTTAAAAGTCGCATCATTTAACGTTCCGATTAACTTTTTCCATTCAACTGATTCAAATAATGATTTTAATGTTACTATCTCAATCATTCTAACAGAAGTTGTCTTCATTCTCAGCATTTCTATCCAATATACGATATTCTGATAAATTAACTACATCATTGTAAAGATGGATAGTGTCTAGGAGTGGAATCTAGGATGCATATTTCGTCCTACTTGGGACTCGTCAGCTGGGTGTACCTGCCTCCCAGTGAGTGATGTTGTTCCAACCGGGACTCCACTATTAGCCACTATACATTATTATTATAATTAGAACACAGGTAGCATCGAGGCATTCGCACAGGAGCTCATATGCCGATGTAGACCGATCAATTCGGTCCAATCAACAACGGTATAATACAAGCAATTATACTAGCCATATCATTCCTTGAAATAAGTTCAAGGTGTGTAGATGGCTATCTCTTTGTCCATCTGATGAACCTGCTCTTGCACGTCAATGTGAATCTGGAAATGCGATTGTAGGTAATGTGTGATGGGTATTTGTTTGCCCTTGTTTGCATTACTGAGCTGTTGAGAATGTTCATTTCAGTGTAGCTTTTTACTTCTCATTAATCATGCAAGTGATTCAATCACTCTTGTTTACAAGCCTAGAGTATATAAATTTTTCCCAGGTCCATTTTCCTCAGCTCTAGAATAGAGTTCACCAATGAAACTCCCAGAGGATCTTCAGGGGTAGTCACTTTTCTGAAGGCATTTCTCTGTCATAAGACATCCTTTTTCTGTCTCATCTATAGAGAATAAATATCTATGATAATTGTTTGTTATACAAGATTTGAGATGTGTTCTTGGATGTCTCATCAACAGGCTAGGTGACTTCATTAGCGTTTACTTCCTATAAGAAACCTGATGATGAGACGTCCAATAACAAGACTTAAAGCTTGGAGAATATCAAATTATTATTATTCTCATCTTGAGCTAAGCTAAAAATCCTCTCTACTATTAATATCTGTCTTTATGGTAGAGTGGTTTCACCAATACTTATTTAAAGTTTATTGGACAAAGGTTGCAGAATTGAAGATATTATCCTCCCCAAGTTTCTCGTCGACTGACAGATTCCTGACAAGTTTCATTATTTTGTTATGCGACACCTTCATATTCCTTTTCTATCATGAATGCAACACTCAATTTGAGATGCCTACAATAAACTGGTTACATGACTTAGATTTTGTTCATGATAAGGGTTTCATGAACATACACTACAGATAACATAGTCATGTAGGTTTCAGGCACTAGATATATTTTTTCCAGGTTAGCAACATGTCAGTAAAAACTAGTTGCATCAGGATTACCATAGTCATATCATGTGATTCATGATATAAAATACTGCTAGACTGAAACTGAATGTTTCTGCTGGACAACTGTAATAACTATTTAAATTACATTTCATGAATGGAAAGATATACTGAGTAGTAGCTTGAGGTATCAATCATTTCTTCTACATGAATGGCTGTGAATAAGAAACTGATTTTCGTGATACTTTCCGTAGATGTGTCCTCTTGAAGAGCTTGTTATTTTTGACTTAATTACATTTTTTGTGTTAACTAGAGGAGCAGTTCACGTACAAAAGGGACTCAATCATAGAAATTATTGTTGACCTCTACGGCATATCAAATTCATGCAGGTTTTCCCATTCGTACATATTTGATTGAGGTGAAAGTCATAGTTTTAGACCATAACATGTTTCTCCCTCGATTACCCTCATCTTCAATAGCTATTTCAGTTGTCTGGTCATTTGGATTCTCGTTGTCATCCTTCTGACTTCACTCTGGTTTTCAACTTTAGGTTAAAATGAGTCTTACGGAATGCTCTCACATTCATTTATCAGCACAAAATCACTATATATATATATATATATATATATATATATATATATATATATATATATATATATATATATATATATATCACCATATTATCATAATTTCTGAGTTTTTCTGGGGTTTGGTTATGTTATTGCCTCATGATTTTGGATTGAGCAGGCGGTGCGATGTGGAAGTGATTAACAATACGTCGACTAACTTTAATTTGAACTAAACCTTCTTGTCCTCAATTATCGCCTACAGCTGAGACACCTGAAGATACATGCTTTAAAATTGGGCTTCCGTATCAGTGCTTCCACTAGGTTTGTGAGGGAGGTAGGGCATAAAACCATGAGGTATAAGCATATATTGAAACCTGCTGAGTAGCATATTTGATATGTTGTATGTTTCTCTGTATTCTCAGAAAATTTCGTAACTAACTTCACTCTGAACAAGGATTTACTAAAATTGGAGATCTTTTTAACTGTACATTTTGCAGGAAACTGATAAATTCTATTTGACACACGATTTCGAGATTCTTACCAATTTTTAAAACCAACAGAAAGTTATTTGTAGATCAGTGGTATCTTTTTAGCTGATTTTATGTGTGAATTTATTATTTAAGGAGCTAGATGATACAGAATCACATTACACGATAGCTCAGCATGTATCATACATACCTTACCTGAACTTGTAAACGTTAGCTTCACTATGTTATGGAGAAAAATACCTTCCTGTGACAGTTGTGGAAGATTTATTCGGTTAGTTATTCAGTAAATATCAACATGAGATCTGAATTTACTGCGTAACAGTCTACTTTGCCACACGTCCTTCAGCACATCAAGGTAGAAGATAGAGAAATAGGGAAAACAGAACTCATAGTCATAGAAAAACATTCAAAGAATAGAAAAAAGCCATATTTAACTAAGAAGCTTGATGTGATGATTAGGAAGAATATAATGTGTGAATACATGTGACCTACTATGATCGATTCAAGTTGATATTATGATGAACATCAAACCATTAACTGGGAATTTTACATTTCCTTGTAGTGATCTGTTTCATCCGATGAATTATTAGTTAACGAGGAAATTTATCTTCCTACTTGTAACTTTAGTAATGCAACAGAAATGATATAATTTGTCTATTCACAGTGTAATTTATCTCGATATCAAACAACAGTAGTGTTAGTGTAATGTTCACACACATATATTTGTTATATATATATCTACATTCTATTCTGTCTAATTCACATAATGTATGCACAAAATTAACCAGTGTAAACTTCATAAGATAACGATTATATTACTTTTGAGTAGTAAAACTGTAGTTAATTCTAAAGATTGTTAAACTTGTAAAAGTTGTTATTTCAGTTATTTGACTTCAGTTACTTAAGTAAATCTCATTCCATTTATACCTTAATCATAATTCAACAATCATTAACTGTATTTTATAGTTTTCTGCCTACAAATCATCAATGATAAAGGAAAAATAGTACTGTAAACAGTAAATTACACTGTGACTTTATCTAACTTTAAGCTTACTGTGAATAATCCATATAAGATTACTACAAATCCAACTTGACCCCATAAAGTTTCAGTACACCGTATGCATGATCTAATCTAAAAGTTTTGGAAATAGGTGAAGTAAAATATTACAGTTTTAAAAGATAATTTATATATATATATATATATATATATATATATATATATATATATATATATATATATATATATATATATATATATATATACAGAATATTTCAATTCGGATTGACATAGGTCAGTCGAAAGGAATCTTCATGTTTCAGTTATGTACATCTATAACTTCAAGGGAACTAATGCTACTGTCAGAGACATTACTTCTGAGCTATTCTGGTGACATGGGTTCAGATCTCTGCTAGGATATCAGTCTGACTAAAGTTGCACATAAACTGTCCTTCTTTGAATCACACTGATGATAAGTTTTTTAGTCTAATTATCACACAGTAAGCTTCATTGACAGAATAAGGTCAACTGTTTTGGATCAGACAGTATGACATCAGTCAGTCTGCAATGACCAATCAGTGTGATAGTTCTATACTGACAGAATGATTAGTGATGAACTCTAACAGAAACTTTTTTTCAATTTTATTCATGCTCCAGGCCCTCGAGTGGAACTCAGATGGGAAGAGACGAGTTGGGCGTTGGAGGCAAGGGTGACATGCAGAAGATCATGCGAGGAAGAAATGAGAGCTTGTGGGCTGTCGTGGAACCAGGTTCAAAAGTTTGCAGAGAAGAGAGTGTACTGGAGACGTGCTACTGAAACCCTATGTCCCACTAGGAACCCAAGGGACAAATAGTTATAATATAATACACTATTATAGGTTCGAGAAATGCCTTCTATTTATTTTATTTGTCAAAACATTGCAAAATTTAATTTTTAGTATTGACTGCAGTACAACATCCTGATATTTGATAATGATATAAATATGCACCTTATTTCAGCATCTGGAACTAGAATATGAAAATTATCATCAGCCTAAATGAAATCCTTTCATCTCATATAACAAGTTTTCAACACTAACATAAATTATCATTTGACTATTTGAGATAGATGTAGTTTGGCAGACTAGTATTTATACTGGGTGATGATTGAAGGTGTGTCGCTGCTTCGAATCCGGCAGCGGTCCAGATTTTCATCTCACCTTCAATCATCACCCAGTATTAACATAAGTGTTAACTTGTGCACTGTGGCAGAATGTAATCCCTTATTAGATTTATTTGATCTATAACACATTGATACAGCATTATTTTTTGCTTGATGACGTTTCAAGCATCAATTATCATTGCTCATAATCATTTCAATGTAATCACACTACTTTCAACATCTGCCCTTTATAATCTAGCCACCTCATATTACTTGTTTTGAGTGGTAGTAACATTTAACATATCTCTGGTATAGGTGTTTCGTCATTCCGACTACATGAACAAAGATTAGGTCATAGTAAAGATGGATAGTGGCTAGTAGTGGAATCCAGGATGCACATTCCGTCCTATCTGGGACTCGTGAGCTGAGTGTACCTGCCTTCCAGTGAGTGATATTGTTCCCACCGGGATTCGGACTCGAAAGCGATCGCGTCATCCACTACAACATCGGTGGTGTAGTGGATAGCGATCTGGTAAAAAGAACGAAACCCAAGTTCAGGCCTTCCTGCCAATTGACTCCTACCATCTATCACCACAATTTTGCTGTTTCGCATCAACTGCCTGAGAACCAAAGTCAACTGCATATCAAAATGAACAATATTGTCTTTCATATAAGAATCAATTTAGTAGAAAACTATTGCCTTGAAGAAAAGAACAATGATTTTATGTAACTGAGGTCACAAGAATTGAAATATTAAAGGTACAGAAACTAATAATGACGTCTGTTTACAGAAAAATTCGGCGAACATTTTAGAGAAGAGTACAGAATTCGGACACCAAAGGCAGGCAGATATATTCTGGATACTGAGAAGAAATTGTGTCACACAAGATATAAACGAGGTTAAAGGTTCATGCAAGCTTTAAAAAAAAGATGAGTAGAATTCAACCACTAAAGTAAAATGCTTGGAATAAAGCAAACAATATCCGGCTATAAATCGACAATATGCACGAAGTCTTGGAATTGCATTCGAAACTCTATAACGCTTGTAAGTATGGTGCTTCTATTTCCTTAGAACAAGTAAAACTTTGTGATAAGCGTGATCAACTGTTTCCAAGTGTTTGAAAACAAAAAAGAAAGTAAACATGTGGATGAAAGACCCTAGTAACTTATTTTAAGATCGAATTTTGAGTGTAGGACTAATATTTACATTGTCAGTCAGTAGTTCTTATATTTTAGGTTGAATCTGACATTAAACTTTTAGAAAGGATAAGACTGAGACGCAGTAAGTAACGTTTCTAATGACATCTCTTACAGTAGTGATGAAATATTGTACGCTTTTCACTAAAACAGTCATTTGACCATAAGTTTCATTTCTTCTTCTGCTTCTATCTCGACTTGTTCTTAATAGGCTTAGATTATCTCTTGCATTCCTTTGGGCAGAATATTTATCTATGGCTGATAACTGCCTATGATTTCTGCTGTCCTATCAACATATACTACTTATATCCATTCTTATCAGTAGCATCCACTACAAACTGACGATTATCAATCACAAACAATACAAATGAAATGGACATAGGAATCCTTACATTCAACCATCTTCTGTCCTGAACTTGGTGATTATTAATATCCTTCCCGTGGAAATATTTCAATCCATTAAAAATCATATTCGATAATAATATAGCTGAACATGGTGAAGTGACAGGGAACAATGATCCAGCTTGAATGAGACACGTTAATCCAAGACTCATTAAATTACAGTATGAAATAATAAGACACTGAAATAAATCAAATATTTCATATTTATTATCTTAAATAATTAAAATTTAATTTATAAACAGTAAGAAACAGAATAATTAGGCTATTTCATGAAAACTATGAGTGAATGAGATGAGTAACAAATCTAAACTCTTCATTGATGATCAGATACTTATGCCTGAAGGTAAAGGATTCATATCTCCAGTGAATAATGTCAATACTCAAGTTAACATGTTCCAGAAACAACTATAGGTTGGTTCATAGACAATTCTTTAACAAAATTTAAACGTCATCATCAACATCATCACCTGTGTTGATGATATTCAACTTGAGTTTTGGTTGATTTATCAGCAAAGACTGTAGATATTAGTATAATTCGCTTTGCACTGTCATGTTTTCATTCTAGATATTCTTAGTCAAGTGTATTGTTTTCAATTGAAGTGCAGCTTTTTGTTGCCTAATAATACCTTAATAAATCTATGAATGAATATTTTGAAAAAATAATGTTTTATCACTTTCAAAGTGATTCATTAGATTAAATTCTAATCTATAAATGTATGAGGGGGGGAGATGTTTTAATTCAAGGGAGATATTTTTGTCACTGCTCAACTGCCTAAACCTGAACAAAATCAAACATAGCTAAGGTTGTTTAAATTGGCTGTTGGGGGAAAAACAAAAGGTTACCGTTATTGTTATTATTATTACTAGACTGCAGTTAGTAGTCAGACAACTCATACGGTTACCCATGTGTATTGTGTGAAATTTAAGTGAGTTATACGAATCGATCACGATGATCCACATAACTGTTTGATCAACGATGTTTTAGGTGTGTTGTGTTCTCTGAGCTGAGTTGCTTAATCGTGGAGCTTTCATCGTCTTTCTAGACGGAATCATCAGTAATATCTTCAGTATGAAGTAAGCTGTCAATATGTCTCCATGGACGATTTAGTGGCTTGCTCTGACGATGTGGTCTGTGATTGGCTGTTTCCTTTGATTATTGTGTCATTGACTGTATAGATTTTCCTGCCGGCTGTTCCTCTCCTTGAACTCTCACATTTCTGTCGTTTATCATTTTTTAATGGTTCACAGATCGAGTCTATGCCCATACGTCTATTGATTACTGACTCACTGACTCACTGACTGACCTGAATGCAAAGCCTCTACGAATTCTTCAATATTCTTTGTCTTTCCTCTCTCCATTCAAAATTTCTACATTGTCAAAATTCAATTCATGTCCATGGTTGTTATCCACATGCATTGAAATGAGTGATGAAATGTTGTGATACAACTAATAGTCAATTGGTGATCATGTAGATGAAGGAGAAGAGAGTGACCACTTTGTCCAATGTACTGTTGACTACAGTTATTCCAGTTGATTTTGTAAATGATATTCGGTGTGTGTTGGTTGGTTGTTGTATCGTTATGTCTGCATAATAGTGTTTGGAGGGAATTCGTTGGTTTATGAGGCGCCACATCAATTCCGAGTGGTTTGCCTTAGTAATCTTGTCATGATCTCTGATATATTCTTTATGTATGGTGGAATGATGCTTTTTCTGATTTCTGTTGATGACTTTGTAGTTGATGATATGGAGGATAGGCATCTCCTGATAAAGTTTGTGGGTAGCCGTTCTTCTTTAAGGTGGACATCAAGTACTTGATATCATTTACAAAATCAACTGGAATAACTGTAGTCAACAGTACATTGGACAAAGTGGTCACCCTCTTCGCCTTCGTCTACATGAACACCAATTGACTACTAAACGTGTCACGACATTTCATCACTCATTTCAATGCATGTGGATAACAAGTATGGACATGAATTGAATTTTGACAATGTAGAAATTTTGAATGGAGAGAGGAAAGACAAAGAATATGAGAGAAATCCTTGAAGTTTGGCATTCAGGTCAGTCAGTCAGTCAATCAGAAAGCAATCAGTGGATGTATAGACATGGACTCAGTCTATTAACCAATGAGAAAAATGATAAATAACAGAAATGTGAGAGTTCAAGGAGAGGAACAAGCAACAGGATTGTCTAATTAGTCAGTCAATGACACAACAATCCAAGGAAATAACCAGTCACAGACCATATCGTCAGAGCAAGCCATTAAATCACTTCATACTGAAGTTAGTGCTGATGATGTCGTCTAGAAAGACAATGAAAGCTTCGTGATTGAACAACTTAGCTCAAAGAACACAATACAACCAAGACCATCCACCTGAGCTACAAATATTCTCCATTATGATCAATTACGTGTTACTATCCGAAGTTGTTCATAACCTTAGAACATCACGTTAGCCTAGAGGTCCAGTTGCTGAAGGCGTTCAAATTTTGTGGTCATTACGAATCTCTTTGAAAAGCTTTGATCAGAACATGTTTCGAATGTTTTGTCCGACATATGTACACAATTATTTGAAGTATCAGATTTTAGCAGGGAGCCCAGACTTTAAATGTAAGGCTGATATGGCACAGCGCTTCCAGACGATAAGAACTGAAATGTTCAAAGAAATCTCTAACCTCTATTATGAAGACAAATTGAATAAATTAAGTCCTTTTTCTCTGTTTCACCATTGGATGAGGAGGTAGGTAGACTTCATCGTATTCTTGGTTGAATAATGATTTACGTTCTAACTCATCTTATAAATTCTTCCCCTCTAAAGCTCACCTAAGTGCATATCACATCGAACATTTCATAAATCACAGTTAAATAGTTTATGTATGGTAACAGTATTCGTGCCTTCTGCTGACATATTCAAAGCAATATTGTATCTTCACAATACTGTCACTAGAAAAAACTAATATGGGTTTTGTATTTTTGAGATGACTGAGGATTTTTAATTTACAAGTAGTATTCATCATGAGCTGACATTAGTTAGGGAACCATTGGAAATCTGGGAGCACTGGACAGCTGTTTCGTCCTAGTATGGTACTTCTCAGCTGTACGCACCCACGACCCGGCTAGGGGTCGAACTCGGGACTTTCAGGTTTCACGACGAACGCATTAACCATTCAGCCACTGGGTCGGTTTCCAGTGGTTCACAATTTCCAACTTCTGTCAATTCACAACATAGCGTGACTGTCACCCAAGGTCTTCAGTTAGCATCCACCTCACTTCCAGATGGATATCAGGAAGTTCTAATGAGAAGCCGTGACCTGTGGGGTCAACCAGTCGAAAGTGAAGTAGATGCTAACTGAAGACCTTGGGTGACAGTCACGCTATGTTGTGAATTGACAGAGGTTGGAAATTGTGAACCACTGGAAACCGACCCAGTGGCTGAATGGTTAATGCGTTCGTCGTGAAACCTGAAAGTCCCGAGTTCGACCCTAGCCGGGTCGTGGGTGCGTACAGCTGAGAAGTACCATACTAGGACGAGACAGCTGTCCAGTGCTCCCAGATTTCCAATGGTTCCCTAACTAATGCCAGCCCATGATGAATACTACTTCTAATACGGGTTATTTTAAAAAGATTGAAGACCAGAATTGGGGAAATTCAAATGCAAAGTTCTAGTCAAACTTCATGTTTTTACACTATTTAAGTATTATTTACAAGTTTTGGTAATAAAATCTAGAAAACTACATTTTACATTGCAATTAATAAAGTTAACGATCCATCAATAATACCGATGGTAGAACACCATTGTGTTGTTGTAAACTGTGGAAGATGACACGATAAGTAATACACCTGGCTTACACGTATTAACTGACACTAAACTCAGCATAGAATGTGAGCATCCCCCAACTATCAAAAAAAATGAGCATCACAAAATTCTGAAGTCTAGACAAATGTAATCACTCCACTCAAAGATGTAGGATCTGTTCAGAAAAGTGTTTGTAAAAATTGTTAATAATCATCATGTGAAAATGAAAGTTCTTTCGGAACTTCATTTAAAAATGAGGGGAACAGTTTATAAATTTTAAGGTGATGAAATAGTAAAACGGTAACCTTGTCTGGTTAACTAGTTCATTAGTTACTAACCTGTTCTAAGCCCCGGTAAAGAGGGAACGTTCGGCATAGGGCTAGTAACCCTATCCCGGAAAACAAATACAACCACTAAAAAAAACTTCAAAGCACAAACAAAATATAAAACATAGAAACAAAATTATTCCTCACTGGAATCCGAGAGGCAAAATGACACAAGTTGGTGAAAGCCTCCACGAAGCCAACTGGCCAACGTGTCTTCTCTCAATCGATGAAAGCGAAAGTAAGGATGGGGACATGGAATGAATGTCCACACCATGTATGAACCCAGCAAGGCTGCCCAGATTGCAAACGAGATAAGAAGGTATCACATTGAAGTGTTCGGAATCTGTGAGGAATCTGTAGATGGAATGGGAGTGGACTCTCCAAACTGTCAACTCCAGAATCAATAATCTACTCCGATATTGTCACCCACACGACAACCACGAACACACTGAGTTTTCGAGTGGCTTTCATGATGTCCACAACAGCATCAAACGCCCTCTCTCATGCAGTGGCAACCAATCTCCTCCACAATCAGGATCATAACAGCAAGATGGATTCAACTCGAAAGGAAGGAAGGAAGGAAGGAAGGAAGGTCACAATCATACAATGCTATGCTACACTACGCACCTACAATTAATGTAGGCCAGGAGAAGAAGGAGGAATTCTACAGACAACTTCAATCAACACTCGACAAGACCTCAATTGGTGACATGGAAATTCCAATGGGTGACATGAATGTCAAACTGGGAGGCGACAACACAGGAAGAGAACTAACCATGGGTGGAGAAGCGCTCGGTGAGGTGATGAACGAGAATGGAGAATTGTTTGCAGAATTCTGTGTATTCAACGATTTGATGATTGGAGGTGAGACACTGTGTTCAAACACAAGGATATCCACAAAGCGAGCGACATGGATTTCACCAGACACGAGACATACTAAAAATCAGATCGACTTTATCTCAATGTGAAGAAAGTGGAGACGTAGTCAGCCTACTTGACACAAGGTCAAGAAGAGGAGTAGATGTAGGTTCAGACCACTCATTGTCTAGTGCAAGGAACCTACATACATTCAAAATCAAGTTGAAAGCCTTCCAGTAAGTTGCTGGTAGACCACGGTTCAAGTTGAACACCCACGCAGAACACAGACTGAAGTGAAGGACGAAACTACAAGGGACATGTTCACGACAGTCAGCCATCACGACAAAATGGGAGATATCGAGGAACATCCATGAAGAAACCTGTGTGGAAGATGACTGTAACTCTTTGAAAGCTATATGGAAAGAAACCTGCATAACCTATCGCTGAGCAAATATGCAGAAGTGAATGGAGATGGACTGGGCATACACTGAGAAGGCCGACTGGGGTCATCACGCACCACACCACGCCCTTGAGTGGAACCCAGATAGGAAGAGACGAGTTGGGCGTCCGAGGTGAGGGCGACATGGAGGAGACGGAGTGAGGAAGAAATGAGAGTCTGTGGGCAGTCATGGAGCCACGTTCAATAGTTTGGAGAGAACAGAGTGAAATGGAGACGTGCTACTGAATCCCTATGTTCCAATAGGAACCCAAGGCACAAATAACAATAATAATAATATAGTGAAACGGTGACTGCGGTATCACAGGTAAGTCCATTTTGAAGCTTTTTATTAAAGCACTTACTATTTTGCCACAATTTTTTATTAAAACGGTTGATAACTAGCAGCCGAATAATTCGTAAGGATATATAGATCGTATACATTTTGTTGAAACTAATCGATTCATGAGTGTTTATACGGATAATAGTCATTCACAGAAGAAGGAGTAGTAGTAGTAGTAAATGCATCCATTCTTTTTGATAGGTGATTAAAATCAAAGGAATTTAAGAGTTATCGATGAAAAGTGATAGTAAAGAGTAATTAGCACTTATTAAAAAACATCAATAAATTTTATGTATTTTTGAGGATAGTATTCTTGTTGCACTTTTCAAAATCTACACTAAACAGCATGATTAATAAGTCAGTGGAATTGCTTCTAAGACTAATTTTATCCCATAAGAAACTTGTATGGCCTAGATTTCCTAATATTTTCAATTACCATACGTAGGGATTTTATTCATATATATATATATATATATATATATATATATATATATATATATATATATATCCAATCACCATGAACGGCAGAAACTTAAAGGAAGTAGCCTCTTTCACCTACACCTATCTAGGAAGCACCGTTTCAACTACAGGTGGCACAAACGAGGACGTCAAAGTCAGAATCGGAAAAGCAAGATCCGGATTTTCAACACCAACATCAAGTCAGTGCTCCTGTATAATTCATAGACTTGGCGCGTTACAAAGGGCATTCCCAAAAAACTACAAACATTCATCAACAACTGCCACCTACGCTGGCTCGCTACTGAAGATCAGATGGCATAGCCAGAAAGAATAAGCAACAAGGAGCTTTGGGAACGAACCATCCAAAAATCTATCGCTCAACAAATATGTAGAAGGAAGTGGAGATGGATTGGACTGAGCATACACTGAGAAGGCCGACTGGGGACATCACGCATCAGGCCGTCGAGTGGAACTCAGATGGGAAGCGACGATTTGGGCTTGTGAGGTGTGGGTGACATGGAGGAGATCGTGCGAGGAAGAAATGAGAGCTTGTGGGCTGTCATGGAGCCAGGTTCAAAAGATTTCAGAGAACAGATGCATTGGAGACGTGCTACTGAAGCTTTATGTTCCATTAGGAACCCAAGGGACAAATAATAATAATAATTTATGAGGATAGTGATATAGGCAAGTACATATGTGAATTTATGATTTGACTATCTACGATAGCCGTAGTTTCGCAGACTAGTACTTGTACTGGGTGATGATCGAAGGTGAGATGTAAATCTGAACCGCGGCTGGACTCGAACCAGCAACCACCGAGTCCAGCCGCGGTCCAGATTTTCATCTCACCTTCAATCATCACCCAGTACAAATATATGAATTTGTCACTGGATGGTATCCAATGTAGCTATCAAGTTCAAAGTGATCAGTAATTGTAGAAATCTTTAGATAAAGTTTTTAATTTATCCACAAGGTTGTACGATAGTACAGTATTCTACATCTTGATATTCTATATCAAAGTTAATCTAACGCAAAAATGTCAGTAAACATCACAGTTTTTAGAATTATGGAATAATTATTTTCGCAGACCACCATATATCTTATAATCAGATTTTCTCAAATGTTTGTAATTTTTCTGCTTATAATTTTACTCCTTGAAGCAGATTGCGTGTAATGATTGTAAAAATGAAAACAGCTGAAAGAAAGTGTCTTCAAATGGTGGCGAAGAAACGATTGTATCTAACCTTAACATTCAAAGAAGATGTAGTTGCAGAAACACTGACACCAAGACTCAGAAATCTCATAGAAAAAACCTTCCTAGCCGTCACACTATCTTCGAAATTTACTACTTGCTGTATGAGGTCAATGTAGTTGAAGGATAGGTTTCCGAATCTGGCCATATCTATATAGATTTATAAATGTAATTGCTTCTGTGGAGATAGTTACATAGATAGGACTACTTGGTAAGCCCATCATTGCTTCATTGGACACCGTCCAGCGTGGTTAGGCAAAAACACAGTGGAATCCATCAAAAGTTCATGACTTGGCCATCTAGTAGATAATGAGCATATTATTGACAAAACCTCAGGATTTATTTACAAAGTGCTATCACAATACTCTAAGTTTGTACGCCTCCGATTGCTAAGCATAGCAGAAGCCATAGCAATTAAATTCTTCAAACATGATTTATGTATTCAGATGTTTATTTGTTCTTTTTCCCTCCAATGGCCCTTAACTTCAACCCAAATATAATTACAATAATCTCCTTCCCGGTCACCCAGATAAATGTAAATATTATCTCCGTTTGTACTCTTATCACCATTAGTTTATTTTTCGCCTTTAGTTTCGCAGTTGATTAAGAATTTTAGCATTTTCTTATCTAATCGCTATGCGACAATAGTTTTATTTCCCCCTGACCCTGCACACACACACACACATCTACAAGAATGGACTACTGAGGATATTGATAATGCGTGATGATTGAAGATGAAATGAAAATTTGGACTGTGGCCGGATTCGAACCAGCGACCACTAGGTTTCCCCGCCCAAAGCTCTACCAACTGACTAGGCAGCCAGTGTGAGTACGATCAAGCGATGGTAATGCGTCATAAATTCGTGCAAAACCCCGCTTGTGACTGAAGTGAAGTAAAAATCTGGTTAGCAGTAGGACCTTGTAGGTAAGTTGGCATAGTATCGGGCCGGAAACCTGGTGGTCGCCGTTTTGAATCCCGCAACGGTTCAAATTTTCACTTCACCTTAAATCATCCCCTAGTATCATTACTAGTCTGCCAAGCTACGGCTATCTGGGATAGTAAAAATGGTACTAAGAATCTATAGACTTTCTGAGATTTTGTCTTGTTATTGTCATCCCATAGAATAGTCTGTTATACCACGAAAGTAACTCAGTAGCATATTGAGAAATAGAATGTCTTCTGATATGCACTTGTGTTTGTTCTTGTGATACAGTGTTAGCAAAACACCGAAAATCACTGGAAATCAGGTTTACAGAGCTGACTCATCTCAAATAAAATAAAACATTTGCTTACGATCCCCTTACTAGCCACTATTGAGGAACATGTACAGTTTCAGTTACTTCTCGAGAAATCTTTATGAATTGCTTTTCCGTTTACTTCATTTTATTCTTATTGATGGGTTTCATAAACTTAGTCTCACTAAAAAAGATAGATAATATTTCGTTTGTGTATCCAGGGCAGTTTATCAATTCATCACTTGCTCCTTCATTAAGACGTACTGTTATGATTTCTTTTTTGCTTCTCAGTTGTTTGAACTATTTTCTACTGCTTCTTTCTTGGAACACTCCTGGTCAACAGTTTCTACAAGTCGATTAGCCCAATGACATACTGTCAGTCTATATTCACTAAAAACACTCGAAAGAGCTTAAACAATTTAGAAGTGACAAAGAGATGATAATGGTACATCCTAATAAAGGTGTGTTGTAGGTAAAATGTTACCTATTGTTCCTGATGAGACAATGAGTTGTGTAACTATTATCAATATTATAACATATTTATCGATGAGAATAAATTACTTACTTGTTTATCATTTATGAATTCTAGGTAATGTAATATATTCATACAGACTGCTTCAATTAAAAGAATGAATTGACTAAATTGCCAGAACATACAGAATAGACAAGTAGTCAACCAGAATATTGCTATTCCAAACCATAGTAATATTTTCTGAGAAGTCTTAAACGTTAAGTAGTTGAGAAATTAACTTCAGTAATTGTAGAAATGTAGTAAATCAATAATACTTTAAAAATGTTGAAGAATTGCATATCCAAAACCGAATCTAATAAATTGGTAGTGAGTAAAACTTACTATGTGAGGGCTGAGGATACCATTTTATTACCCTAACTTTGATATGTGGGGAAGGACTCGAACCCAGGCGCCCACTGGCTAACAATCAGATGCCTAGACAAATATGCCACAGCTCCATATCATAATCTAGTACTCTACTATTTGATTATAATAATAAACTACATGCAACAAAATAATAATCTCATTAAGGGAATCTTTAAGTCTAATCATCATTAAGTATTACAAGCTAGCAAATAAACACTTGCTATTTGTCCTAAGCCGGGTAAAGAGGGAAGGTTCAGCATAGGGCTAGTAACCCTACCCCGGAAAACAAATACAACCGCTAAAAAAACTTCAAAGCACAAACAAAATATAAAAATAATAACAAAATTATTCCTCACTGGAATCCGAGAGGCAAAATGACACCAGTTGGTGAAAGCCTCCACGAAGCCAACTGGCCAACGTGTCTTCTCTCAATCGATGAAAGCGAAAGTAAGGATGGGGACATGGAATGAATGTCCACACCATGTATGAACCTAGCAAGGCTGCCCAGATTACAAACGAGATGAGAAGGTATCACATTGAAGTGTTAGGAATCTGTGAGGAATCTGCAGATGGAATGGGAGTGGACTCTCCAAACTGTCAACTCCAGAATCAATAATCTACTCCGATATTGTCACCCACACGACAACCACGAACACACTGAGTTATGGAGTGGCTATCATGATGTCCCCAACAGCATCAAACGCCCTCTCTCATGCAGTGGCAACCAATCTCCTCCACAATCAGGATCATAACAGCAAGATGGATTCAACTCGAAAGGAAGGAAGGAAGGAAGGAAGGAAGGAAGGAAGGAAGGAAGGAAGGAAGGAAGGTCACAATCATACAATGCTATGCTACACTACGCACCTACAAATAATGTAGGCCAGGAGAGGAAGGAGGAATTCTACAGACAACTTCAATCAACACTCGACAAGACCTCAATTGGTGACATGGAAATTCCAATGGATGACGTGAATGTCAAACTGGGAGTGGACAACACAGGAAGAGAACTAACCATGGGTGGAGAAGCGCTCGGTGAGGTGATGAACTAGAATGGAGAATTGTTTGCAGAATTCTGTGTATTCAACGATTTGATGATTGGAGGTGAGACACTGTGTTCAAGCACAAGGATATCCACAAAGCGAGCGACATGGATTTCACCAGACACGAGACATACTAAAAATCAGATCGACTTTATCTCAATGTGAAGAAAGTGGAGACGCAGTCAGCCTACTTGACACAAGGTCAAGAAGAGGAGTAGATGTAGGTTCAGACCACTCATTGTCTAGTGCAAGGAACCTACATACATTCAAAATCAAGTTGAAAGCCTTCCATGAAGCTGGTGATAGACCACAGTTCAAGTGCAACACTCGGCAGAAAACTGAAAGATAAGACTACAAAGGAAATCTTCACAGCAGCCATCACGACAAAATGGGAGATATCGAGGAACATCCATGAAGAAACCTGTGTGGAAGAACACTGGAGGTCTTTGAAAGCTATGTGGAAAGAAACCTGCACAGCCGTATTAGGAAGGAAGAAGAAGAAGAAGGAATGGAATGGATCTCAATGGATACATGGAAGCTGATAGAGCAGGGAATTGAGGATGGTGAAGCAGAAGACAAACCAGTGCAAGGATGCACAACGACAAGAGGAACTGAGTAAAATGTATAAAACACTGGACAAAGAAGTGAAGAAGAGTGCACGGAAAGAAAAAGACACTTCTACGAAACACTGGCAAGTGAAGCAGAACAGGCTGCAGGTAGGAGAGAGAGACCTGACAACGTTGTATCAAATAACCAGGTTACTATCTGGAAAGAGATCAACGCAGACAAAACCAATAAAAGATGATGACAGAAATTTAATTACGAAAGAAGAGGAAAAAAGGAAACAATGGGCCGACCACTTCAAGAAGCTCTTGAATCGACCACCACCACCACCTGCAGTTCGTCCAGAATTACCACCTACAGCCGCTGAACTGCAAGTGAACATGAATCCTCCAACAAAAGTGGAAGTCCTGAACGCCATAAAGCTACTGAAATGTGGGAAAGCAGCAGGACTAGATGGGATACCGCCAGAAGCACAGAAAACAGACGCAGAGACAACAGCGAACATGCTCACACCACTTCTATTGCAGAAAGTGTGGAAGGAAGAGAAGGTACCTGTCTATTGATTGGAAGAAGGGTTACTTTGTCAAACTGCCGAAGAAGGGAGATCTCAGTGTTTGCAAGACCTGGCGCAGAATCACTCTCTTGTCCACCCAAAGCAAGCAAAATATTAAGCCGCATCATCCTGGAGAGACTGAAGGATGCACTGGATTGAAGACTACGACCGGAACAGGCAGGCTGGCCGGATTCAGGAAGTACAAATCATGTGCGCACCAAATTGCAACTCTTCACATCATCATAGAACAGAGTGTAGAATGCCAGTCAACCCTCTATCCTCAACTCGGCTTCATCGACTTTGAAAAGGCCTTTGACAGCGTCGACCAACAAGTAATTTGACAGGCAGTTGCTTCAACACTACACAATACCACAAACCACTATCAACCTCATTCAACAAGTATATGAAGACACCACATGCCAAGTAATTCACAATGGGAAGCTCAGCTCAGTGATGCCTTTGGAGTGGAAGTGAAGACAGGAGTGAAACAAGGCTGTCTACTACCATCCATGATATTCCTGATTGTGGTCGACTGGATCATGCAGCAGACAGCTGTGAGGAGCTGTGAGAGGAGGGGGATACGCTGACTTGACCTCGGAAAAGAACCTAGGAGATTTGGATCTCACCGATGATGACTTGTGTCTAATGTCGCACAAAGTTGAAGATCTACAGGCGAAAACTAACTAGTTGACAGAAGAGGCGAGGCAGGGCAGTGATGACGGCACCTCAAGTGAACGTAGAGGAGACAGAGGTGGAGGTGATGATGATACGCAATCAACACCATCACCACCACCACCACCACCAACACCACCAACAAGCTCCAATCACCATGAACGGGAGAAGCTCAAAGGAAGTAGCCTCCTTCACCTATATAGGCAGCACTGTTTCAACTACAGGCGCCACAGGCACAGACGAGGATGTCAAACTCAGAATCTGAAAGAGAGATAGGCGTTCATTAGCCTGAAACCAGTGTGGAGATCTTCTGCACTACACTCAGCATGTGGAACAAGATGCGGATTTTCAACTCCAATTCAGTCAAGTCACTGCTTCTGTATGGTTGAGAGACTTGGCGCGTTACGAAAGGGATTTCGAATAAACTACAGACATTCATCAACAACTGCTTACGCTCGCTACTGAAAATCAGATGACATAGGCAGAAAGAATAAGCAACAAGGAGCTCTGGGAACGAACCAACCAAGAACCAATCACGCAACAAATATGCAGTGGAAGGAAGTGGAGATGGATTGGGCATACACTGAGAAGGCCGACTGGGGACATTATGCGCCACACTACGCCCTCATGTGGAACCCAGATGGGAAGAGACGATTTGGGCGTCCGAGGTGAGGGTGAATGGAGGAGATCGTGCGAGGAGGAAATGAGAGCTTGTGGGCTGTCGTTAAGCGAGGTTCAAAATTTTGTAGAGAACAGAGTACACTGGAGACGTGCTAGTGAAGCCCTATGTTCCACTAGGGAACCCAAGGGACTAATAATAATAATAATAATAATGATTTGTAATATATCATAAATTGACTGCAAATGAATAACACAAATCTACTAGTCCCTTAGGAATAGATCATAAGAAAAAAAATAAAAATTTTAATGTTCCTTCACGAAGTATTTGGAAGTTTGTACCAATAGTAGTTAATGCTAATTATGTAACTGTGCTTGGTATACAGATGTCCTTAAATAAATATTAAGGCCCAGAGAATTCCAAGTCATTGTCACCATCATCTTGAGCTCCAAATTACTGTTATTACCTCGAATTATGTAATGATTATCAGGCTACAGTTAGGTATAAACATTCATACAGTATTTTCATTTGTCTACCACTGAATATTGATTTGCGGATTTCATCATGGAATTAGTTTATTTTAAAAATGCTAAGATTTATACAAGTTCACCTGGTGTTTAATGTTAACCAACGATTCAGTATCCGATATCTTGGAAATTTTTCCATCAAATCCTTGTCATAGTCCACTTCATACTGAAGTTAGTTCCGATGATGTCGTCCAGAAAGACGATGAAAGCTTCACGATTAAACAACCCAGCTCAGAGAATATAATACAACCAAGACCATCCACCTGAGCTACAAATATTCTCCTTTATTTCAGAATAGATTAATTAATTGAGATTTAAGATATATAAGGTAGTTACTGAACTGATTGCAATGCATTCCAAAAAAAGGAAGTATATTGTGAAGAATGCTGAGTCACTTTGGCTGGTGAACTGCACTTTATTGACGTGATTCCACTAAAAATTCAAATTATAGTGTACGGTCTTTATAAAATCTGTGTTAACTTTCTTCGTATATACTATTGTTTAAGGGGATGAATTTATCTGAAGTGCAACCATACAGAAGTTAAAAGTGATTCTGATTAGCTTTTGTGTTTTCTTGTTACCCCATTATGTCTAATATACGCTAAGCATTCCATTAAGTATGTTAATATTGACAAGCCTAATCATTATTTTGTCAGGACCAGGCATTGACTAAATGTAACGCATCTGAACTTGCATTCATGCCAACAAAATTATCATAGATTACAGATTCAAAGTGAGTTTTTAATCTTTACTAATATATCTACAAGTAACGACCTTTTTTAATACTTAAGTTTCACTTTTATCCCAACTAAAAATGGCGTTTAATTTCTTATCTGTAAAAGTTAATCCTAGAGCTTATCTGTCTACTGAGATCAAGGAAAGGCTTTCACACTTTAACGATTTCAAAGATCCTACTGTTGTAGAAAACAACAAGATGGAGAAGAAGGAAGGAATGTTTATTATTAACATCTTGTACAGTAATCATCAAATATGGTACACGTTCCACTAAGACAGTCATTTGCATAACGTGCTTCATTTGCTGTTCTGCTTCTGTTTCGATTTATTTTAAATATGCCCACATTGTTTCTTGCGTTTCTTTGGTCAGAATCTTTACCCATTACTGGTAATTCCCTATGATTTCTGACAACCTCTCAATATATACTACTTATATCCATTCTGATCAGCAACGTCCACTACAGTATTATGAATACAAAGAAATGAGGTAAATTGTACTTTGGACAGAGTTTTATTATGTTAGAATTATCTATACGCATACGTGCATGCTTTCAACTAGCGGTTTTTAATGATTTTCGAATGATAGTTGCTTTCATAGTTACTCAAACTTGAGGATTTCACACTACCTAACAATATGCTTCACATGGATCAGATTTTAGCAGTAATTTGTTATAAATATCAGTGACTGAAATTAAAATTTATTGTTGAAACAATTCATCGTTTTAAGATCCTGGTAAAAAGTACTCCCTCCAATCAGTATACCTAATCCAATCCTACACGAGGTCAATCACGACTCGAATAGCCCAGCCATAATGTCTCTTACTGTAGCACTGGGCGATATGAGCTCGAATCCCAGGCGGGGTATCAGTTTTGTAGAGGTTGTAGATACACCTTGCTAACGAGTGCCAAGAAGCACGAAACTAAGGTCTAAGACTTCTTTCCAATTACCTCCATCCAAATGATATCTATTCCTGAAAGTCCTTAACATTTAGCTTCATCAAAGTTAGTATCAACTGGCCTTCGAACTAACATTTTTCTGGAGTAATTGCTGAAAACGTTTCATTTAGGATAACTCCGTCTAAAAATCTCTTATCATCTTTAAATTCTTGTCTTGAAAATATTTTTTTAAGTATAACTTACCTGAATGAAGACTGTATCAATATGCTGTAGAATTAAATTTATCCCATACATGTGTAACCACCAGAATGGCATACCAAAGTTTTCTCTCAGAGGTAATGCAACACTACTCTGGATATCGCATGACTGCAATCAGTAAGAGCAATGGTAATACAAAATTTACTAAATATGGATGGTAGACTAATAATCACTGAGTATCGATACTAATGTTAACAAAGATTTTTACTAAATGTTTTACGTGCACAGTCTCATAGTGAAATATCTCAGAATAAGTTGAATGAGCACGCAGATGTTTTAAAACTTCAGTCGCCACTTTTGTATATCTTTACCGTGACTTGACATAGACTTAAACGTCGCTCAGTTCCTCTGTAACGGAAAAGGCTGTAATATAAAAGAAGGTCTATTTACAACGTCAACAGTATGCACAAATTATTAGATTTATATATGGTGGAGAATATTTGTAGCTCACGTGGATGGTTTTGGTTGTATTGTGTTCTCTGAGCTAGGTTGCTTAATCGTGGAGCTTTCATCATCATTCGACACAATATCATCAACACTAACTTCGGCATGAAGTAACCTGTTAAATTTCTCCATGAGTGACTCACTAGCTTGTCCTGACCAACTGGTTTGGTCACTGACTGTATAGATTTTCCTGTTGGCTCTTCCTCTACTTCACCTCTCAACTTTCTCTCGTTCATTTTTATCGGTTGATGGATTGAGTCTATGCCCATACATCTATTGATCGCTGACTGACTAACCTAAATGCTGCAAAGCTTCTAGGAATACTCTGATATTCTTTATGTTTCCCCTGTTGGAAATTCCTACAAAAATAAGTGGGGTGTAGACTCTGTTCAAAGAGCGAGAAGAAACTGCAGCACAACATCTTCAAGGAGAAAACAGGAAAACTACTTCATGTCTATCCTAAAGAGGAACGGTCACCAGAGAAACTTTATCAGAAGATGCCTACCCTCTATATCATCAACTACAAAGTCATCAACAGAAATCAGAAAAAGCATCATTCCACCATACATAAAGAATATATCAGAGATATCGATAAGATTACTAAGGCAAACCACTCGGAATTGGTGTGGTGCCTCATAAACAAACGAATTCCCTCCAAACACTATTATACAGACAAAACGATACAACAACCAACCAACACACACCGAATATCATTTACAAAATCAACTGGAATAACTGTAGTCAACAGTACATTGGACAAAGTGGTCACTCTCTTCTCCTTCGTCTACATGAACACCAATTGACTATTAGCTGTATCACAACATTTCATCACTCATTTCAATGCATGTGGATAACAAGTATGGACATGAATTGAATTTTGACAATGTAGAAATTTTGAATGGAGAGAGGAAAGACAAAGAATATTGGAGAATTCGTAGAGGCTTTGCATTCAGGTCAGTCAGTGAGTCAGTAATCAATAGACGTATGCGCGTAGACTCAATCCATCGACCAATAAAAAAATGAACGACAGAAATGTGAGAGTTCAAGGAGAGGAACAGCCAACAGGAAAATCTAGGCAGTCAATGAAACAACAGTCAAAGGAGACAACCAGTCAGAAACCAGTTGATCAGGGCAAGCTAGTGAGTCACTCATGGAGAGATATTAACAGGTTACTTCATGCCTAAGTTAGTGTTGATGATATTGTGTCGAATGATGATGAAAGCTCCACGATTAAGCAACTCAGCTGAGAGAACGCAATACAACCAAGAGGTTTATATATATTACAATGGCCTTAGTTATTTCTAGGTCTACCATTTATTTTTCTTCTTTTCAACCAACCTAATACCTACACGTTGATTCATTTATTTTTCCCAGAAACTTCGAAGCAAAACGACCGGTTAAAAAAGGCTTCAGGCATATATGACTTCTGATGAAGATTTTGTTAATGTTTCTTCACAGTATGATAAAATGATAACTAAAGCTGAATGAAATGAATAAATCACCCTGTAGGAGGTGAACCATTTTCTTAATGTAACTGTCCCACTCCTCTGTCTACTGAGCCAGTACTGTCACCAACTGGCAAATCTCAACTTCACTTCAATCAAGGAGGTAAGTGTTTTTCACTGCTTCTTAGCTTTTTAAGTTTCTTCAGAGAATACTATTCAAGAGAAGTATCCTTATATTAGGTAGGTTTGACAACTCTCAATGAGAATAAGAAATATCTTATCCAGAGAAACATCTACAAAAATTCTATCTTTGCTTTTTTTGAAGCATTATGAAATAATATTGAAAGGCTCTGCATAATCATGAATAATCAATCACAGTATAAACAATGAATTGATACAGTCATCCAATCAAAGTGTTTTATGCTTATACTATGGAGAACAAAGAAACGTACATTCATTGGTAGCCTATGTTAGCGCATATTTTTCATAATGGCTATATTCAAGTTTATTCAGTTAAAGTGATAAAAGTTTTTTTTTAGGGTGACTGTGAAACATGCAATGAAAGAATGAGAGAATTAAGAATAAAGATGAAATTCAAGAAGAGAAAATGAAACAAGATGAATAGGAATAGTGAGCCAAAGTGGCTATCCTTTGCTGATTTTTCTCTTTGATTGGTATGTATGAAGGTGAACTTTAGTGAGGCGAAATATCATTACATACTATAATAGTTAAGAAAAAATGCTTCTGAGAATTATGAAGATGATTTAATACTTACCAAAGTATTCATATAGTAGGCCAGTACATTGCATAAACATTGATGGTAGCCAATGATTTTATTGTTAAATATCTGTCATCGTCATACTAACAAATACATTGATAATTTGCCTAAAATCTAATAGGCTTCTCAACATGAAAACTTCTGATTGACCAACTATTCAAGAAATTCGCATTTCTTTATGTGAAAAATATTTAGTGCAAATGTTTCATCCAAACTAATGTTCATAATTAATTTTAGGTTGGAATTCATCATGGACTGGCATCATTTGGAGGAAGATTAAAAACCTAGGGGGACTGGACAGCTGTCTCGCCCTAGTATTTGACTCCTCATCAGTGCGCACCCATAACCCCTCCAGGGATCATTGTTGACTAGTTTCGAGAAGTCATTCCTGAAGTTCTAATGAGAAATCATGACTAGTGGGGCATTGGATGATGTTCACGCTATGTCGTGAAGTGACAGAACTAGGAAATAGAGACCATTGGATTCCGACCCAGTGGTTCAGTGATAACGTCCTAGCCACGAAACCCGAAGGTCCTGGGTTCGAACCCTGGGGAGGTGGGGTCATGGGTGCACACTGCTGAGGAGTCTCATACTAGGAAGAAACAGCTGTCTAGCGCTCTCAGGTTTCCAGTGTTCCTCCAACTGATATCACTGCATGATGAATACCAACTTGGAAAAAACCTTAGAATGACCAAGAAAATATAATGTAGCAGTTTATGAAACCATCAGTTGTTGGTGTGAAATACATAGGACTTCGTAGGTAGGACTTTCATATTGTTAGCCACCAATTATTCTAAACTGAGCAGTTAGGTTCACACTAAATCTTTACCGAATTACTTGGACATTCTAGTTTATTTTTTCCATCTTGTATCACTTCTTATTCATTACTGGTGTTAATTTTTCTCCTACTTCTGTTGACTTTTTTTCTATGCCGTTTCAAAGATTTGCAGCCTTAACCACTGCGTATATTAATTATGCGGCATGTTAAACACAATTTATGTATGCTTTTGTCAAATTTTACAGTTTTTAACCGACCCACTGTTTTGGAATCTATCACTATCCCCAGATCCAGATCGCAAGCTAATGTAATGCTAGCTACTTATTTCAAACTAGTTCTTACAATGCTGCTATTATTAACACCATTCAGATGAAATAATTATTTCTTTTAAAAATATTGTTCCAGTGGTGTTGTTGAAATATTACATATTGAAAATTACACAATATGTCACACACTTTGTTTGTAATAAAACTGTTATTATTAAAAAAAAAAAGAAGAAAGCACTTGTCTCAATTTTTGCATGCTTATTAGTACCGTGAAATTATCATAACAATTGTGATTGTTCTCTTCAAAACTTTCGTCTATAACTCTATACTACTCGTAAGCAGTTCAAAGTAGTATTCGGGATATTACTATTTATTGACATACTTGTTATTCGCCGTTGTTTAGTTGGATCGAAGCGTTCGACCTCTGTCGGCATATCGTCTCCTATGCGGATGTCTCAATATTGCCTGAGTGTTAATTATGATAATTTGGTTGGTTGTGACTAGCAGAAGGATCCAGTACGCGTGTCTCATCATATTAGGGACTCGTCAGCTGGATATACCTGCACCCCAGTGATGTTGTTCTCACTGGGACCCGAACCTCCCACCCATCGCTTCAAATGCCGAGTAGTTATCCACTACGCCAACCAAACCACCGTAACCGACATCCATGCGACATCGAGGTATCCGCATAGGGACCCATATGCCAACAGAGGTCAAACAATTCTATCCAACAAAACAACGGAGAATAACAAGTATGTCAATACTATAGCCGACCGACGGATAGCCCAACTATCGAAATTCTTGACAATATGCTTGGTAATAAACAGTCACATCAACCATCGGTGCAACAAAAAAAAACGATCAGGTCGGACCGTCACATCCCCGGAGTATCTAAAGACATATTCAACTGAGTAGTGCGACTTAGAATGTGCCAACCATTTTTAAATTCAAAGTTTTCTCGAGGCACCTTTTTTATTTACTGGGAATACGAAAATTCTCCTATATTTGACCTCTTTTGGTACCAATTTTTACTACCACGTAATCATACTTCTTCGAAAAAAACGGAAATAAGCATGAAATCTATTTTCGATATTTTTATTTGTTTAAAAATGTTTCGTATTTTCATAAAGCATTTATGTGGAATTAAAGATCTGTATTTCTGTTCCAGGTGCAACGAGCACTGAATGAAACGTAAAAGGACACTAAGGGTCATGATCACTGTACAATTCGATATACTGTATTTTATTTTTTCATTCGCCACGACACCCTAAAATAAGTTCGGACAACCAGGGTCTAGTTCTCAAAGTGAGCCCATCGGAAGCGTCGTACCGGTGGGCAAACCACTGGGTTTTTACTTCCCGCCGGTATTGTCTTATGGTTTTCATGAACCCACTACGTGAGGAGTGATCTGCAGCGTCACACACTTCTCCAAAATCAATAGCCTAGGGTTCGATGAGATTCAAAATTGATGCTGACCTTGATAGTTTAACTGGACTCGCTAAGCTGAAGGCACACAGTCAAACATCCACACCGTTCGGGACGCTGTCATGTTACTTTGCACTGCTCGTAATCGACCCTCTATCCAGTTAGTTCGAACCCATAGCTACCTGGCACTAACTCGTAATTATACTATTTCATCTGACTACGCTATTGTGTTCTTGTATTCTTGGGTATATAACAGGTACAAATAGTTAGTGATTGGCCTCTGCATCTGTCATGTTCGCACTGAGACAATTCTTAAAGCCTTAATTGATTTCTCAACCAATATTAATTTGTGAAAAGAAAACTACCTTTCTAGTTAATCAACTTGTTTAATTATCATTGACTAGAAGTAAATCTACTTACTTATTCAATAGAAAAGTGGCTGAGAATATTAAAGTTTCCAGTAATGAATTGTTCATAGACTGCATGATAAATAAAAGACTAAATGGAGTCCAAAACTGTAAAATAATTGTACTCATTTCGTAAAAATCTATTGGCTTTACATAGTGGAACCATTTCTAAAAAGCAAAAAACATTTGAATTTAGAATATTTGGGTTCATTTAATGATAAGTTGAAAGAGAGTAAAACGATATCGATTTACTTCATAACTTTTCATCAGCTGGAGACAAACTAAAAAGTATTACAGTTCTAATAATGTTTAAAAGAACAATCAATCAAAGTATTCATCTCAACTTTTTTGAGGTGAAAAGAGTAGGAAGTATGTGTAAAAGTAACTGTATAAGTTACTTAGTAAATAATGTTCCTTTTAATTAGCAAGAGATATTAATTCTTTAAATACACCTTGAAATAAGTAGACATTAAAATGTAATCAGCTTTATGTGGACTATACACATTCTCACTATGTATACCTTACAAGTGAGCTCAACTTCAAAAATTGTAATCATATTACCGACAAACAAATTTCGCTTCATATCTACATACTTCGCTCCAATCACCATAAACGGGAGGAACTTAAAAGAAGTAGCCTCTTTCACCTATATAGGAAGCACTGTTTCAACTACAGGCGTCAAAGGCACAGATGAGAATGTCAAAGCCAGGATCGGAAAAGTAAGACAAGCGTTCATTAGCCTGAAACCAGTGTGGAGATCTTCTGCACTCAGTATGTGGAACAACATCCGGATTTTCAACACCAATTCAGTCAAGTCACTGCTTGGGTATGGCTCAGAGACCTGGTGCGTTAAGAAAGGGATTTCCAATAAACTGCAGACATTCATCAACAACTGTCACCTACGCTGGCTCGCTACTTAAGATCAGATGGCATAGCCAGAAAGAATAAGCAACAAGAAGCTGTGGGAACGAACCAACCAACAACCTATCGCTCAACAAATATGCAGTGGAAGGAAGTGGAGATGGATTGGACTGAGCATACACTGAGAAGGCCGATTGGGGACATCATGCTCCAGGCCATGCCCTCGAGTGGAAGGTAAATAGGAAACGATGAGTTTGGTGTGTGAGGTGAGGGTGAATGGAGGAGATGGTGTGAGGAGGAAATGAAAGTTTGTGGGTAGTCGTGGAGCCAAGTTGAAAAGACCACAGAGGAGAGAGTGAAATGGTGACCTGCTACTGGAACCCTATGTTCCACTAGGAATCCAAGTGACGAATAATAATAATAATAATAATAGTAATATAATGCATATGATACTGCTCACTTACTGCGGTATTTTTTGCAACGCATGTCATTGTTTTTTGGAGACAAATCAACATCTTTTTGCTTCATACCTGACATTAGAATTGACCTGCGTGTCTATAAGCTACTGATATCTGACTTTTGTGCACAAACCAAAAAGCGAAAACAGATAGACAGACGAAGTCAACTTAGAACCTCGCACACAAGTGCATCAACTAGAGTTGCCGCACTTTACAGTAGTATGCAAAGAAAAAGTGGATAGAATGAGGGTGATTTCAAAGTAGACAAAGTTGTGTGGCAGAACAAACAATTTAAAGATGAAGGTCAGTGCACATATTTAAGCTTTAGGAGATGTCAAGGAGTGAATATATCTGCTCCACTGCAACCGATTTTCAGTCATGTCACCAAGAGTCCTCATCCACTGATTCCTATCACATCAGTGACACTAGCCAAACAGTCTGCGTCTCCCCTACATGGTTCAAACCAACAGTCAGAGATTTCATGCACTGGTGCCGCGTCTTAGTATGGCCACCTTCAACCATTCTCCAACGTAATCCAACTTCCCCTAGCACGGCAGGTGGAAGTAGGTAGTGGCTTAACATGCATAGTACATATCTAAGCCAGCTAGGCCGATGAGGTTCCGAACCTCATCAATAGACTTGCCTATCTTGTCTAGTAGCCTTCTCCTAACCCTAAAATTGCTCACATGGTAATTCCACCAAACATGGGTAGTGAGTGCTACAAAGGTAACTGTGATCCACTTCATGTCTTCTACTTTTAAAGACCGTGTTTCACAACCGATAACAAGACAGAAGGGAATGTAGCGCAGTATGCTCATCCTTAACAAGGTGGTCAGATATTTTGCCAGTCGGTGCCACAGGTAATGGGTGTTGGCATGTGCCAAACAGGGCTTCTGTATCTCAGGTGAGACTCCATGAGCAACCAGCCCATACGAGTTGATTGAACTCTCCAAGTAATTGAACTGGTCATCACAATCTTAACCTCCATTCACTATCATTAGACCGGAAGGGGTTGCAGACAAGCTGTGGAGTATCATCTTACATCTGATAGGTAAGTGGTGCGTGCCAAACAAACTCGAATCTCTGTCAACGCGTTCAGAAGACCCTTCATTTTGTCAGCATCTTCTAGCAGCAGGACAATGCCGCCTGCATACTCCAAGTCAACTGGATGACCTCCAGGAAGTAGTTCAGTCACTAGGAAGTCAAATGTACCTAAGGTTTTATCCATAACGAAGTTAAGTAGGAACGGTGATAGCGGGCATCCTAGGCAGACTCCACTACTTGTTGTCATTTCTGATGACAAATATCCATAAGCGTGAGTCTGGGTAGAGAGATTTAATAAACTTCATATACTTGTCCGGTGCTCGCTTCATACGCAGACACTGCCACAACACTTCATGGTCAACCAAGTCGAATGTCACCTTCAGATCAAAAAATATGGCAAGTGTCGACCGGTGGTGGATATATTTGTGTCTCATAACCTGTTGGAAGGGAAAACATGACTGACGTACCCTCGTCCAGGTCTGAAACCTCCCTGGTTTTCTCTAGTTGTTACAATAAGAACATGTTTTCAACTAGCAATAACTAAAGTTTAGATAAACTTCATTGATTATGGCACCGCGATTTTTTGATGAATCTCTGAGATACATTAGTTGTCAAGAACGAACGAACTGAAATTCACAAAGCTAAAGCGTTTAAGCAGATGGCGAAGAAAATAATGTCAGCATCTGTCATGTCTCGAAGGAGAATAAGCTATATTGTATTGGATGCTGTTCACAAGACTGTTAACAATTCATCAGATAGTAAACAGTACACTATGGTTATTACGGTTTGCCATCTAACAGAATCAGATGACTGTATTTTTGTGATGATCTGGAATTGGTTAGAGCTCTTTGTATCAGACGTTTTTCAGAGAATCTTTACAACAGGCACAAGGGACCTTATAAGAATGTGAAAAAGGGTAATGGTAGCGCTGCTCACGAGTGGTGACTCATAATAGTCAGATTAGACTATGTGAGCTGGAGAAACTAGTTTCTGGTCAGTACACACACACACACACACACACTAAGTGCTGATTTTGCATCCACTAGGTCTGAACGTCTTTCGAAAGATAGGAGAAAATAGTATGCACTGGTTTTATTGGAAACCAAACGCAAAATGGGGAAAAAACTAAAGCTTATGTGTTTTCAGACACCCACGTCTTAAAAGTGGAAGCTTTCCATAAGGTTTCTAGCTAAGGGATGTTTATTAAACTGGATGGTTTGGGGAGTGAAAATGAAGTGGAAGACTAGATTAGTAAATTTATGAGGAATAGGAATCAGAAAGTAAGGTTAACAGAGCATTATTTTTCTTACAATCAGAGTAGAATGGCCTGCCGCAGGTTAATATTCGATGCCTCATTCTAATTTCACGACATGTCCATGAAATATGATAAGAAACCAACGCATTTGCTATACTGTTTGCAGAGGATATGAGACTTGCGATATCTGTCCGTAGCATTAGTGACAAGTTGGCTTCACAATAAGATCTAAACACCTTATTGCAATGGTCTAGTAAATAGTCATTGAAGATGAACAATAACTAGGGTGTAATTATGCGAATTATTTGCAAAAATCTGCTCTAATACTCAATGAATGGTTTTTCAATATCTGAAATTTCTGAAGATGAGGATCAAGACGTTGTTGTAAAGCATTAGAGTAAGGTTGCAGCAAACTGTAAAGCAGAAACTGTTATGGACTTCCTAGTGTTATAGTCTCTTCACAATGTATTCTACAGCTTTAATGAGGATGTGTTTCAAAAAATGTACCCAATGTGTATTAAACCCATATGAAACACACAACTCAAGTGGTAACTGAATTTTTCAATCTCGAAACAGATAAATCAGAACCCTTTCAAAGGGTAGAGACTAAAAGGATTGAAGGGCTTTCAGGCCTCTCCTGTGATGAATGGTTGGGATGGTTGTATCTATTCGGTTTGTCTTACTGGAGATTGATCAAAGATCTCTTAACAATATTTTATATCTTGAGTGATGAAATATGTGCAGACTTCTTTGCTTAATTCTCCCTCTCCAAATGGTAGCTTGAAGGGACAATAAGTTCCAACTATCTTAATTCGGAAGTCAGTTTTCCATATTGTCTTGTGAAGCAGTCAAATTCTTCAGCGGGCTAAGTGTTTTCACTAGCTTCTTCTGATTCATTTAAAGTTAGACTGAAATTTAAATGAACAAAAAGTTACAAGGATTACTACTGACCTCTACCACACAATCCTCAGTCATGAACCTGAAGGCTGTGTTGAAGTACTATGATAAAACATTTTGAAACAATGTAGGAAAAAATGTCATTTTATGTGACTACTTTTGGTAAGTAGGGATCATATTTATTGCTGAACGACCTATTTCTGAACTTTTGCATTTGTGTTTTTGTCAAAAATATAGGTGTTATGGTTGAAACTAAGCAAGTGCCTGAGTGAGTGGTCGAAATTACTCAATGTTACAGAAGTCATCACCAAATTTGCTGCAGACCACATTGAGTGTGGAATATAAATATTGATGGCCATATTAGATAATTCATTCTTATTTATTTGCAACGTATAAAATTATTTTGCAAAGCAGAATGTAAGATAATTTTAATACCATGGAAGCTTTTCTGAAAAGGTGGATTCGAAATTATTTCAGTCGGTACCGAAAGATGGGCCGTTATATCTTGAGTTGTAGACGTTTTTGTGAACATACAAAAAGTACTGTTACCTGATATGCTATACTCAAAATTATTTCTGGGAGGACATTCATGCGTTTAAAAATGTTCAGCTTTTTGGGTGACTCTGTATGGTTATCATGCAGTAACGCCTCAAAAGCTAATACAATTAAATGCATAGATCAAATTACCATCAAAAATATTATCGAGAGACACAGCTTCCTTAAAGTATGAATAGTAGAGACCTTGTTCCGTGCGGAAAGATATTTCTTTCTCCATTACGGATAGATTTGACCACCACAATGATGATTCACGCTGAGTTTTGACAGTGGCTAAATAGGTGATGCTCAGAAGAATTGATCCAATGATACAAAGCACGTATTTTTTAATCATCCTGCGATAACAAGATACAACTTTAAACCATGAAACTTTTTTGATATCGTCAAACAAAATATCCCGAAAAAATACATGAGGTGACAATATCCAATACTTTTTAACAAGCTTGCATCAACTAAGTGATTTCTTCGAGCTCACTTCCAGGTTTTATGGAATGATACTAGGTTTTCGGGTAGATTCTGATGCAGTAGACCCATTCACTAGCCTGCTGTAGCTCTGGTTGAGCCGATGGGTGATTACGTGTTGATTAAGTTTGTAGGCAGGTGAATAATTTGTGTTAGGTGATAGTTCCTTGTTCGCTTCATAACTAGCAGGATCTTCTGATGCTTTTAAGAGTTTAGTGACACCGCTGTACCATTCAGGACTCGTAAAATATTGTAGATTTTTCAACATATATCAATGCGATGATGCCTGCAAACTGGTTTCTCTCATGTCAAATTACTAATGTGAGGATAAAACATTTATTTATTTATATCAGTAATAAGAAACTTCCCATGCCTAGACAAAGTGCTTCCCTTCGAAATAGCAACTAAGAAAGGCCAGAAACCAAGAAGATGAACTCAATTGTTGTGTTAAGTGAGGATAGCGGCAGCTAACCGCATTTCATACAGACCGAGCAACAGAAGTTTTTGCCTAAGGGATGACCAGGAGATGAAATCTCCTTTTTATAAACATGGATCAGCATTTGAATCTCAAGGAAAACAGGCTAATAACACAACCTCTCTATAGTGGTCTGTAGCTGAGGTTCCAGGACGCAGTGAAAGTGCTGACAGTAGACTGTATACACCTTACAACTCGCAGACGAGCCACTCTTGGCCCCGAATCTTTCATCCCGATAACATAAATATGCGGCCTAGTCTTTCCACCACCCGCCTCTCATACCACCAATCTACTTACTGCCCTGGTAATGACACCACAACCTGTACTGAAGCCTGGAATAAGATAAACGCCTAACTGAACCAGCCGCCCTTGTCATATCTTTGAGTGACAACAACTAACAGGACACCTATCGCTCATGCCCAGCACAACTGTAGAGGCGGTAGGAAAAACCCCGATATGTACCAGTAAACTGGCGGGGTAATAGCAAGTGGTGGGTTCATTCCTCTCTTCCAATACTCCTTAAACCTACAAACACCGGCCATTAGTGTGCTATCCTTATTCGGCGAATATTGTCCCCTCGAACTCTAATACTTCTAAACGGCCGGCACTGGCTCTGGCGACGGGAACCTGGCTAACTTCCGACATGTCGGACGCACGTACCGCAATCAATGGATGCGGTATACACGGACGGGGTGGTCTATGCAAAACGACGTGGGTGCCTTATCTATGCGTCAAGCGCCGTCATTACAGACACCGTCTAGCGATGGACAGAACTCCTGAATGTGCATGGGCAAGCCCAAGCCTCAGTGAACACAAACTCCTCATTGGACGTATATATAGGACATCAGGCGCTCCCAGAGCGGTTGATGAGATCATCTGCAATACATCTGAGTATATCTTCACTCTGGGTTTCAATTTCAAGATAACCTGCAGCGACCTCAACCTCCGTGAAGTGGACTGGAACATCTACACAGGTCCCGAATTCCCGGCAGCCATTGGTGAGCATGGCTGGCGGCAATGGATGCGCTTCTACACATGAAGCGACAACACCCTTGACCTGATAATTTGCCACAACATAGGACATTTGTCTGTAAAAGCATAAGAAAAATTAACGGACGGTTTTCATGGCACATTTGGGCATTACTCCACCACTTCTGGTAACTCGCAAGGGGGCACACGAAGTAAAACCTAAGCATTGGCGATACGGTGACGACACGATATTCACGAGACTCTTTGATCGCGCCGGCGCTTTCACTGGCACTAATCTCTGTCAAATGCCAGAAGGATTTCACAAGATTATTGGTGCCACTCAGGAAACAATCGCGCCCATCAAACTCGGCCTGAGGATAACTTTATTTGTTGATGGTAAAATTGCGAAGAAATTACTTTGTTTTGAAGGGCTTTACCGCCGGGAATCAGACACATGCAATATTTCTTTCACTTCATGAGGGACACGGAATCGAGGCACTGGTTGAAGAACGCAAAGCCTTTGTGCCTTCCTGCGAAAGCGAAGAAATTCAAATGACCGTTGGATGGACAACTTAGATCATCAAGGTATATCTTACCATGATTGACAGATAATCTGTGAACTACTCAGCGAGTGGTTTCTGAATGCTAACAACATAACTCTAGCTCCAGACGTCGAGACAGTACAAGCGGCAGTGTGGTAAGTGGTACGGAACTTGATGCAATGACACTAATGATGATATTTAAACACTCAAAGCAAATGTCGACCGAAAGCCGGGTGGGATATCGTTAACAGTTTACGAAGAGGCCCGCATGGATAACTGGAGGTCAACTTATGTGTTGCCATAACACAAGTCAGGGGCCAAGACCAGCGTTGGTGATTGTAGACATACTAATATAACCCCGGTTATCTAACAGATCATGGAAAAGGCGAATAAAAATCGAATGTCTGACTTACTGCTGGAATCTGACCGTATCAACTCGTCGCAATATGGCTTACGTTTGACCTTTTAAGGAGATCACCTGCAAAAGAGACCACAAAAGGTTGATGACGATAATTTACTTCGATATAGCTGAGGCCTACGACAGAGTTCCATGCAACTCGCCTAGTAACAGGTTACGTTACCTTGAAATCTGCAATCCCATATCATAGGGACTTGCCAGAATCCTTTCTGTGTAACCACCATCAGATAACAAAAGCTGGCTCAAATGCTCAAAAGCCCGAGCCAATAACTATTAGAGTTGTCCAGGACAGCATCATGGGTCCACCCCTCTCCACAACATAAATTTGTAGTGTGCGTGAATGTTTCAGGGTAGGTAAGCCGCTTCCCCACAGGGATGACATGAAAGTAGTGTGCAGAAACTTCGGAAATGACAGCCTTGGCTGCTAATTCAATGCAAGAGGGACCGAAATATGCTCGCATATGGTACAATACCCGGCGACTCGAATTTAAAGTGAAAATATGCTGCGGGGTACATATGAGTGACTACGCTCTTGAACTAAAATTAACGATAACCGATAATTCACTCCCGAAACTGGAGTGTGTTTTAGGCCTACGGCCACGATGTTTCCCAGCCTAACCTTCTCTGATTACACATCCACACAGACGTCTTAACCGCACAAACTGGTAGGCCTTTTTAATGAAAACACCATAATAATCGCTTTACTGCAAACGGCTTGTATGATACAGTATGGAATTTTCAGCATGGAATATTCCACCAAATTCGCTTTCCGCGCAATATTTTTAGGATAGATAATTAATACTTCCGCAGGCTGTTAACAACAACAGTATTGAAGGCACAAAAGTGAAACGGGCTGCTAGTGTTACATTAGCATTTGCTCTCGATTTAGAAATTAACACAAAATCGAGTGTAACTTTGATAGTTCAGTCAGCCGGCATGTAATCTCACAATCCCATACGGGTATCTTAAAAATATTAATGTGGTGCGTTTTTTCAGCATTTGGAAGTCCATTTCCAAATGGTGGAACGTTCATCCCTTGTTTCGCCCTCAGACTGAGGAAAGAAAGTTTGGAAACATTCTGAAAACATGCGGGAGTACATCACAAGTTTAGAAGACATTTAGAAGATTAAAACAAACGGAAAGGGAAGAATTTGATGGAATATAACCGGTGGAAAGTTTCTTGGTTGCTCAAGGTTTGAACAAGCGGCCAGTTTCTTATCATGAACCTTCTGTATTACCAAATCTGAACAAAACATATATCCGACCACTGCTCAACTATTGTTCATTTGTCTACGGGCTACGGATAAACTGCGAGTCGGGGGGTGTAGAGGTATTTGGCAATGAAAATGCTGAAACGAAAAACGAGGTAAGATATTTGACCAGATGCAACATTCTAGGACTTCAGGAACTGTGAAGACAAAATTTTAGACTGAACTTGCTACTATTTTATACGCCTCTTAACTGGCTCACCTGAAGTGTATACACAGGCATCTGGTCCGTAGATAGGGAGTTTTATGGCCAAAGGGCTAAGAAACTCAACCACAACATTGAAAATTGAACCTCTCAAAATTGTCACTAGACCGAACTTCCCCACAATATAATATACCTAGATACAGAAGAGTTTACCCGGGGAAACATGTGAATCAAACACTTTGGCCAAGTTTATAAGGCAGCTCAGTTCCACGTTACATCCGTGTGCCAGTTGATGTGCCACCAATATCGGTACCAAAACTACGGGTATGATATAGCCTTTTAATATACAGAGTTTCCAACTAGGAAGGTATAGAAGCCGTACCCATTTTGTTCTTTTAATAAGGATTATACGCTACCAAGCCCCAGCAATCCAGTGTTTCTCAAAGGAGTGAAACTGCACCGCTATTAAATTTAATACGAGATAGACTGTCACCATATGAGCATGTATCTATCTTCAGACTACCGAAATTTCTGGATGGTTGCAATAGCGGTGAAAATGTGGGCAAATAATTAAATTACCCAGCAGATTCTTCCAGTGCTTCACCTAACGTACCTACTTGATAGTGGTGGATACTGTAGTGCAAATAATATGTAAAACCCACTACCACTGGTCCCCAATCTTTCAAATGCCCGCTTCTTTGCCCCACTAAAGCTACTTCTAATACCGCCGTGGATGGAAGCAATCGATGAGTGGTAAATGCCCGAGCCCAAATATTTACTTGGCTTATATCATCATGTGGGCGCTTACCGATTCTGTAGCCGCTAAAATGTGTTCTTTAGGCCACCGAAGCTGCAAACAGGGTATCTCGTGGACTCGCTTCATATCATGACACAGCCCAATGTCCTCCCCTCTGCACCATCACAAATGCTAGAATCTTGCAGGTTTCTAGAACATTATCAATTCGATGACGCTTATTAACCGGCTTCTCTCGAGTTTAATTCACGATATGAGGACAAAAACATATATTTGTCTGGTTAAGTGTTGAGTGCACGCCATTCCAGAAGTTTGTCGCCTAACAACAAGCAGTTACCCCTATGTCTCCAACACCGCACG